GGCTTTTCCCTAATAGCTTTCATTCTGTGGTAAAGGCTGCTCTTTCTTCCACACCCATCACTAGGAGCAGGGGGCAGGAGAGGACACAGTTCTCCTCTCTCCCCTTGGCACCACTGATAACCTTCTCCTTTCTTGAAGTCCATGCCTTTGAATCTTCCATGTTCTTCTGGTCTTCATAGCACAATCTCCTCCACCCCCATCTCTACCACACATCTAACAATTTGTGTATCTAGATCAGTCTTTCTTCACCTCGCCTTCCATACCTAATATTCTACCAATAAGATCTTGAAAAGCTTGATTTGGGTACACTCAGTGGTTTACCATTCTTGGGTCCTTCTCCTGGACTGCCAAGCATTGCAGGAGAGTCATATCCTCAGAAGAGGCCTATTACGAATCCTGGTCATCTAATCTCATGAAGCCCTTAGGGTCCCCTAATCTTTCTTGTTGACTTCCTTCTTCTACTCCTGCAGGAGTACTAAATCTTCTCCCCCATGTTCTAAATCTCCACACCTCCCTAGCTCTTTACTCTCAGTGGCACTATTATCTTTTTATTGAACTTAAGGTCACCAAAGGAGTGCCTCTTTATTGCCTTATTTTCATGTTTTTCTTCTCAATTCAGTGGACTCATTCTCCTAAGGTAGACTCTTTGTACTCTGATTTCACATCCCCATGTTTACCATACCCTTTCCCCTCTTCCTCATTTTCAATATCTCTTTCCATGCGCCTTCCTTTTATATACTCTTCTCAAAAATAAAAAAGCCTTTCCTGGACTCTCTCCCCCTTAAATGTCCATTCCATCTCTCACCTTCCTTTTCTGTGTGATGTCTCAAGAAACTAGCCCTCTAACTAACCACTTTGGGAACTGGTAAAATTTTCCTCACTGTAATATTTGTGGGTTGAAATAGAGATGATTCTCGGTTACCTTCAGTATTCACCAGTCTGACTTTGTACTCAGCTCCTCCTTTTCCTCACCTCCCACTCATTCCTTAACCTATGTAAAGCGATTTCTACCCCTCCGATAAGTGGAAACTGTTTTCTCAAAATTTGTAACTGTCTAGTCCTGAACCCAAAGGATCTTTTGAACTCTCACCTATTAGACTTCTTTGAAGTATCAGATGTGGCTGCCTGGTCTCTGCTTGGCACACCTCTCTTGTCCTACTTTTCTGTCCCTTCTACCTCTCTTCCTTTATTGGTTTCTCTCCCTTTGATCATCCTCAAGTTTCTTCTGATCACCCTGTCTTGGAGGGATCCTGTCCAGTCAGAAAAGGATGCTCAAATCTGTGTCTCCAGCAGCTCCAACTTTCCTTTTGAGCTCCAGGCCTGCCTGCTGGAAAACTGCACCTGAGTGTCATGCTGTTACCTCAAACCCTGCAGGACATTCTTGAGCACTATGTTACTCTAAACAGGTGCACCGCCGTCACCAAGTGGCTGGTGCTTATTTGTACACGGGAGAACCCTGGAGAAATCCCTAGGATTTCTGTTAGCTTGTTCCACCTACTTTAGATCATTCGGTTCATTGTAGCCTAAATGTGAAACGTGTGCTCAGCCACGTCTGACTACCACCCCACGGACTGTAGCTTGCCAGGATCATCTTCCATGGAACTTTCTCTGCAAGAATCTTGAAGCGGGTTACATCTCCTGCTCGAGGGGATCTTCTCGACCCAGGGATCAAACCTGTCTCTTGCATCTCCTGCACTGGCAGGTGGATTCTTTACCACTGTGCACACCTGGGAAGCCCACTTGTTTGTATATCATTTCATTAGACGGCAAGCCCTTTGAGGGCAGTGACTTTATTTCATTTATATTCACTGTCTAGCAGAGCACTCTGCTCCTATCAGGTACTTAATAAAAATTTGATTGTCTGAAATCAACTCATTTTCCCCTCAGCCACATACCTCCTTGGTTTCGGTTATTCTGGTCTTTCTTATGCCCTTGGCTCAAAACTTGGAGCCATCTAGGACTCCTCTTCCCCCACTCCCACCATCCAATCAGCTGGCACATCCCAATGACTTATCCCTCTCAAAGATATAAGATTTGTTCCCAATAACTCCACTTGGAGTTATTGGGACCTAAGTAGAGAGTACACAGGCTTTGGGGTAAAATGAGTTTAATGCTAATTCCACTACTTTGTAGCTGTGTGACTGTAAGTTACAGTACATTAATGAGCCTCAGTCTCATCTATAACGGAGATCTTCTGGACAGTTGCCGGCAGGATTCTGATGTTGGGAAAAGGGTGTGACATGGTTAACACATAGCATGTGTCCTCCCACGGCCCAAGGCACCTGTTTCCTTTACTCCTTGTCTGTACACCTGAAGCAGCCCCTTGCCCCGCTTCTCTACAGCCGTCACAGTGCCACTGCCTGCCAGGTCCACACCCCTTACCATGACATTCTCTGTCCTTTCCTCAACACATGCTCCCTCACACCTGCACTCCACCTACCTCAGGATGCTCGCCTTTCCTGAAGATACAGTTTTCTGACTCTCAGCCACTGCTCAAGCTGTTCCACTCCTCTCCGGGGCCCTTTCACTCACCCCTTCCCCCAGAAATCCCACCTGTTCATCAAATGCCCTCTCCTCCTTCAGGGCCTGCTGGGTGCTTACAGATGGAACACCCACCCCACCACCCCACCTTCTACATCCACTGTACCTTACTCTATCCAGTTCACTCAGCATGCCTTGAATCAGTTGATTAGGTCTGCCTCCCCTACTGGACGGCAAATTTGAAGCAGAGTTTGCATTTATCTTTGGGCTACTTGATGCTCAGCTGAACTGCACTGAAAACAGTCCCTCCCACATCCTTTTCCAGAGTTAACCAGACCTGCCCCAACCCCAATCTCCCAAGGGACCCTCTTCAATCTCATCAGTCTCATTTCCAACCCTGTGTCTCTTAACTGAACCCCAATGCACCCTCCACTGAGAAACAATTCCTCATTCCAGCTCTAGAGCAAGGCTGAACCTGTCCATGTCCCCAGGGTTGCATGGAAGGCCCTGAGTCACACCTTGGGGATCCCTGCTTCCCCTCCCCACCCCAACTGTGGAAGACAGGATGCCTGCCGCCTGGCCCCAGGGGGTCAGAGGAAGCCAGGGCCTCTAGGGCTCAGTATTTTTATCAGCTTAGGAAATAAGAGACACAGAAGCGGAAACCATGTGGTCAGAGAAAGTGAACAGCCCTCATCTCAGGGGAACCCCCAACCGGGCTGGGGGCCAGACACCAGGGAGAGACGTTGAAAAGAGGGAGGTCTGGGGGCCACAGAGTGGGACTTATTTTGCTTTGGTTTGATGTGACTCTCTCTGAGGGGCCAATGATGTGCTTAAAAACCAGACTAAGTCTCCTGGGTGAAGGAAGAAATTTGGACACCAGCATTTTCTGTTGCTTACTTCTCAAGTCCCAGCTTAAAGATCCTCACCCCACCTCCGCCCCCGCCACTTCGAACTCGAGCTCTTTGCATGCTACTTCCGAAATCTCTGGCCTGAGAGGAACCGGACGCTTGGGTTGCTCACAGCTCAAGTCTCTTCTCTGAATCACGGCAGCTTCCTCTCACAGGATCTTTCTCATCAGCCCTCCCTCCTCCTGCCCCCTGAACATCTGCTGGGTCCTGGGAGACCTGGGGCCTGCTGGCTCTCTGTCTTCTCTGAGGGCCTCACATGTACCTCATGTGCCCATACTTCCAGAGACTTCCCCTCCCCGTCCCCCATCACCCTCTCCTTCCACACCTGGGATTATCCTGTGTAGACCGGCATTCCATTCCAAACCTGAAAAATAAGTTCTGATTCACAACATTCTCTGATGCAGACGTGTGGACTGCGCACATGATGGCGCACGCCCATATTCTCCCGAGTCCTGCCCTTGAGTTCCTGCTGTGTCCTGCCAGTACTGTGGGATTCCGCCGGTGGCATAGCGTCTGGAGCCGTCTGCAACTTCCTATCCTAGTTCAAGGGAGCTGAAGAAGGGACTGAGTTTGAAGAGTGGAAGAGATGGTGCTCCCCCCACCTCCCGCCTTAGAAACCCTAGACCCTCTCCCACCACCTGTCAGGACCTTTTCCTCAACCTCAGGAAAAGGGAGATGTTTATCTGGAAGGTCAAGACTGGGCTACCCAGAGATGGAGTCCAGGTTTGAGATAGGGGCAGAAGCTGGCTGGAGGAGTTGAGAACTGGAGCCCTGAAGGAGGAGAGTCAGGACTGAGAAGCCCGAGGTGACTGCTGGCCTCGGGTGTGGATCTCTGGTTGCCCAAGAACAGACAACCCAGGTTACATAATTTGGCTCTTTCCACCTCCTTCCCCTGCTCCTAATTTTAGTAACTGAAATTCCACTCCCCCACAAGGACTCTTCCCCTCTCTTCTGTGCTTCTATCCCCCATCCTCCCACCACCTTCTCATGGTCCCCCAGCTCCAGCTGCCCCCAATTCAGATCATTCAATGACTCAGCAGAGGGAAAGCCCTGTGTTGGGGGAAGAGGGTGTTAAGTGGGGAGGAGGATGTGGTTCCGGCTGGGGAGGGGAGGGAAACTAGCTTTGTTCCCCTTTTTGCCTCTGTTCACATCTATTTCTCCAACCGCTGACTGAAGAGTGGAGAGGAGCCCAGCATGGGAAGTGGAGAGACTGGAGGGCAGGCAATCTGGGTCCTCTTAGCACCGCCCTTCTGGGTGGGTGGGCAGGGGGCTTCTAGTCTGCAGCAGAGGGCACCAGTCATTGTGTGCCTGCATGGTGCAGGTGAATAGAAGCTGTGGGTTTTGGCATGTGGAGTGAGAAATGAGAAGTCATGGGTGATGAAAACCACAGTGATGGAAAAAGGCAGAGGAGACACCGGGTGTGCAATGTGGAACCAGGTCTTATTAGGAAATGGCAGAGTCAAGGAGCAGGGTGGTGGCCCGTGTCCCCCCACCCCGACTCATTACAAGTTTTGCTCCCACCCCATATCCTCTGCCCTTTGGTACTGGCCTCCTGACCTTAACCTTCCTACTGTCCTGCCCTTCCTGCAGTTTCTTGCTCTCCCCTCAGGGTCATTTGAGGGCTTCTGCGTGGCGATTCAGGGCCTGAGAAAGGGCTGTCACGGCTCCCATCACTCGGCCCAGCTCCCAGGTCTCAATCTGGCTTCGGAATCGCTGCAGGAAGCGGTCAGGGTGCCAACGGACCTGCTGGACCCTCAAGTACCTCCTCAGAGCCCCCTGTTCCTCCAAGGGGGGACCCCTGGCCACCAGTGCTGCAGCCATGGCTTCTGGGTCCCCTCCCCCAGGGCAGGGCCAAGGCACATCACCAAAGCGCCAGAGTCTGCCCCGCCCTGCGCCTCTGGGGTGCTCTGCCCGGGGGCCGGTTCTGGCTGGCTCCGGAGCTCGATCCCCGAGTGCCTCCTGTGCTCTCCTGGCTCGGCTCTCACGCAGTTCTTCCTCCTTGGCCTGGGCTCGCTCTCGGAAGAGCCGCTGCTCCTCCTCCTGCTGCCGCCAGCTGTGCCCGGAGCCCTCAGCCCGTGGGGGTCGGCAGGCTCCCTCTGCCTCACGCTGCTGCTGCTGGCGCTTCTGGGCATGTTCCTGAGCCATGCGATCTGACCAGGCTGAGAAGGACTCGGGTTCCTGGGTCTCATGGGAAGCATCATCTGTTTGGGAGGGCAGGTGGGGGTGGTCTCGGACAGGCTGTGAGGAGGTGATGGGCAGCACGGGAGAAGGGAGCACAGGAAGCCAGTGGGGAAGAAGGGAGGCTGTGGATGGACATGGCATCCTTACCTTCAAATCTCCCGATGACCTCCTGCCACTCATCCTCCAGCTCTCCCTGCAGCTTCTGTCTCCATTCCCGTTCCTTAGAGGCCTCATCTTCCTCCTCCTCCTCAGCAGAATCCCAAGGGGGTCCCCAGCCCAGAATCTGCCCTGGGGTCTCCCCATCCTTATTCTTTATTCCCATGGCAGAGGGACAGCGACTCAGCAGTGGCAGGAAGAAATCCGTGTAGGCTGTTGACGGGAGAGCAGTGAGCACAAATTAGCTGGGAGGGCCGCCATCTTGAATCCTGCAGGTCACTCACTCCCTTGGTCTTAGAGCAATGGAACGGTTGCCCACATGGATGCCTCCTGGGTACTAGGCAATCACTGTCACTGACAAATACTTATCGATACTTTACATCATGAGTAAGTGCGGTAGTTTAAAATACTCTGTCCTTGCAGGCCAATTTGGTGTCCTGGGAGCTCCACCATGTCAAATGATATTTTCTAGCTTGCCTCCCTTTGACTAGATATTCAATTTTTTGGCTTGAAAAATACTGTTACTTTATACTTTTTATCGTGTTTCTCATCCAAAACTATATCCTATATAGAATACCTGAACACCCTGATCTGTACCACTATAAATATACAAATACACAATATTTTTCTTTTTATATCACTTTTCAATAAACTGAGAAAAATAAATATTCTCAGGGAAATTTCTCTCAGCCAGCCTTAGCCAAGGAATGCTGGGAGGGTAGTGGAGAGGTAGTCCAGTAGTGAATTTAAGCCACTGAAATGTTCCCAGAAGCAGGGTAAACTCTTTCCAAATGACTGCTGACCTAAGGCAGGGGAAAGGGGTTGAGACAGAGGGTCCCAACCTGGCTGACAGGAGGCTGGGGGAAACCAGGAAAGGGACTGTCATGCCTGAGCGCCCCTCCTCCTGAGTCCTGACCTCAATGCACCTGCTCCATTATCAGCTGAGGGCCAACACTGCACCTACCAGTGCCCCCCTGCCACAGCCACCAACCCCTCTGCACTCCCAGGACAGAGGGAGGTGAGTGAGGCACCCTCCCTTCCTGTAGACCTACTTTTTCTCCCTAGGGCAGGAGGAAGTAGGCCAGCAGTCTTTAAATCTTTATTCATTGATGCTAGAACATACTGGCCGCCTGGCAAAACAATGGGACAGAGGAAGGGCTGTCCTGTCAGTACCAGGAAGGTGCAAGATAGAATGGGTCCAGCCTTGGCTGGCCAAGGCCCACTGCCCCCCACCCATCTCCTGGCACACCTGAGTGTCACTCAATGCAAACCACATCAAGATGACGGGTGGGGGAACTTCTCTTTAGTACTGATGTGACCTGTCACAAGCCCTCCCAATTTGTCCCACCCAGCAACTGGCCTTGTCTTTCAACAGCTTATTTCCCACCAGGGCTCACAGCAGGTGTGAGGGTGGGTGGGTGCTCAGGTTTGCATGGGAGGTTTTTAAATTCACAGGTTTGAAGAGGTAAGGCCTCCAACTATAAAACACCATGAGTAAAATCTGGTACAGAATATTAAATAGCCACTAAAGATTATGGTGGTGTGGGGAAAAAGCAGGCTGCAAAACTGTACATAGGATCCAATCACAATTGTGTGAAAAAAGAGACCAAATCAATGGTTGAAAAAAAGATTTGAAAGAAATAGGTAAAAATTCTAGTTTCAGGGTGGTAGACTATGAGTAGCTTTCCCCCCAAGTCTTACCTGATATTTTAATGTGAAAGGGACCTAATTAATAAGAAATTTTCTTTTCTTTTTAAAGACTGAAGAATAAATTTAATCACTGTTAACAGCTAGGTGTGGTCCCTTTTCAGTCCTGTCTTGGTGTATATAAACACATATGCACGACAATTTCTTTTCAAGAGTTACATGTTGTTTGGTAACTTGTTTTCATTCAGCAGTTCATTTATAATTTCCACAGGAGTATACATAGCCTACCTCATTCTTTTCTGTGACTGTGTAGTGTTCCGTTGTGTATATGAAACAAATCTTCCCACCCCCAATAGAAAGACTTTGTTTCCAAAAATGATCAGTCTTATACATATGTGTTTGTGGACTCCTTACAGTACTTCTGTGGGGTAGATTCTCAGAAGGGGAATTTTTGAGTCAAACAAAATGTGCAATTTTGCCAAATTGCTTTCAAAAAGTTTGTGCCAAGGTACACCCCATCAAGAAAATAGGAGTGCCTAATGAAATTATAGTTTTATCACTTTCAGGAAACTTTTTATATGTGATAAGGAATATTATTCCATTATTCTTGAAATAAACTAGGTAATTATAAAAGTATTTTAAAAAAGAATATATGAGTGCCTGTGAAGTCCTTTACCAAATCTGAATACCTCCAACCCTTTAAATTCTGCCCATCCGATAGATTAAAAAAATGACTTTATTAATGAAAGTTTTTCATATTCATATTGTCTACTTTTCCCCTGGATAACATATGGATAGATATGAGTGTTATTTATATAATATGGATACCCACCTTTTGTGTTTATTTCACATATACTGTAAATATTTTCCTCTATCTTTTCAAAATTTTTGTCATTAAATCTGTGTCTATTTTCAACTTATAGCTTTTAACTTTATTTCATTCTTAGGGGGGTTTTTTCTCCACTCCAAGATTATGCCCTTCTGTTTTTTCCTACTATATTTATTCCTAGAAAAAAATTTTTTTTTTCAAAAAAGGAAAAAAGTACAAAGTACAGTATGATAAGCAACCTAGTCCTACCACAAGGTATGTTAATATTTTTGTTTTTTCAACATAATTTTACTTAAAAAAACCATCAGAGATAAAACTAAAGTTTTCTTTGATTCTGTCTTCCAAGTTTTATCCCCCCAGAGAAAACCCTCCCATGAATTTGAGCCCTTCCTGTTGCATTTAGATGTTTAATCTGCTGTAATTTACTTTTGAGTCGGGTGTTAGGTAAGACTATTTTTCTCCAGAGAAGACAAATGGCCTGGTATCATTTATTAAATAGTTCACCACCAGCCTCTCCAGTTATTTGAAACACCAAATTTACTGACAATTTAACAGTACAGATCTACTTTTCCCAATGTTCTTTAATTCATATGTTGTACTTTTATATTGGGAAAAATAAATGTGAAAAAAGGCTTTGTGGCGTAAACACGTACTTCATCTCAGTGATGGAAGCACTGTTCTACTCCCCAAAACGAGACATGATTTCTGTCTTAATAAGATGTTGATACTAACTGGTACAGAACACTTTTAAAAAATGCCAGATCAGAAGTTTACGTTTAGTGATGATTGAGATGCAGAGGAAGACCAGGTGACAGTGGGCGGGCTGGTTGGAGAGGGCTTCTAGCAGGAGGTGGGGGCCTACACTGGGTTGTGAAGGGAGAATAACTTAGCAAGGTGGAAAACTTACTAGGGCGGGCAGGAAGGCGACAGGCCAGAGGCAGATAAAAGACAGGCATGCTTGTTGAAAACAGGCTTGGGGTCACTGAAGACAGAGTCATGGAGCAGGAGTCTCAGGTTTGTGGGTGTGCCGTGGGAGGTTAAGTTGGAAAGGCAAAGGGAACGTAAACCGGATGGCTCAGTCATCTGTAAAGCAGGGCCACAGCCTACTTCTACTGAGCAGATCAAAGCGGGTAATGGATGGGAAATGTCTCATACTGTGCTGGCACAGGGCAGAGGTGCAGTGAATGTTACACTAAGGAGATAAAAACAAAAAATCAAGCTGGCTTTGGACTTATTCTTTTTGCAAAGATGGTGACAAAATGACCCTGTTTGTCAATGTTCACTCATTCTTGCTGAAGGCAGAGAATGGCTATTGTTGGATTAAGGTGTGTTTATACAGGGGTCTCTGACAGCTAAGACCACCTCCCTAGGAGGTGTTACCAAAAGCCTCAAAGGTAACGGCCATTCACTGGCCTCTCACTGGGTGTGACAACCCAGCCCAGCCAATTCAGAACCCTTGGACCCACCATGGGAACTGAAGGGAAATCTACCCTCCCCGATTAGATTCTGGGTCATTTCATCTATTCAAAGAAAATATCTGGATTTTAAGGCAGAATGGTCTCTAGAGATAGGCCTTCCCACCAAGGAGTTAGAAGGCCACCTGGTGGTAAGGATGGCGAGGACCACGAGGAAGGAAAGCCTGAGAAGGCCTGGGAGTGACCTGAGTGTAGGTGAAATTTCAGCAAGGTCCTGCAGGTTCTGGGCCCTGTTTTCCTCATTCTTAAATGGAACCATAATATCACTCTCACATTCTTCTTAGAATTCAATACAATGAAGGAAGCACCTACCATAAGAGACATTTCTGTCACTAATGAAGCCTTAACTGAGTAATAAAAGAATAAAAGTAACAGTACTTCTCATCTTTTGTTGTTATTTAGTCACTAAGTCGTATCTGACTTTTTGTGACCCCCAGGGACTCTAACCCACCAGGCTCCTGTGTCTGTGGGATTTTCTGGAGAATACTGGAGTGGGTTGCCATTTCCTTCTTGAGGTAATCTTCCTAACCCATGGATCGAACCTCCATCTCCTACACTGCAGGTGGATTCTTTACTGCTGACCACTAGGGAACCCCTACTTATCATTTAGTGAATATCAAAACTGCACCAACTGCTTGCCTCACTTGCCACAACCTCCATTCTAGAGAAGCAAATTAGGTTCACACAGGCTAAACTGGAGAGAGCTTGTCACATAGTCCATTAAATGGCAGGGCTGGAACTTGATGGGGTCTGAGGTCTGCCTCAGGACATTCTGCTCTGTTGTCATATACAGTGTCAACAGTCAAGTTAGGTGCCTGCACTTTGTAAACCTCCTCTCTTTGTTCTAAGTTAAAAAAATATCTGAAATATCTGAATAGGTCAGCCTATGTTAGGGGATTTTTGACTGTATGGGGGAGGTTTCAGGGTGTGGGTGAGGTTCCTGTACATTCTTGGGGAGCTGGGGGGGATGACAATAGCAATCAAACTGAATTCAGATTGCTCATCCACCAAGAGATTTTCATCTAACGTTCTTACTCTAGAAGGAAAGTCTCTAAAAGGGGAAATGGAGTTTCACCAGTTATTTTCTTAGGGAGAGCTGTACCTCTTCTGAGCTGCCTCCACTGCCACCACAGTATCAACAAGCCCCCGTCAATATCAAAGGCTTTCCAGAATGCAGATATTTGGGGGATTTGATAAGACCTGATCTGAAAGTACATATACTTGACCCTCCATATCCTCAGGTTCCACATCTGCAGAGTTAACCAACCATAGACCTAAAATATTCAGGGGAAAAAAAAATTCCATAAAGTTCCAAAAGACAAACCTTGAATCTGCAGTTTGCCTGCAACTATCTACATAACATTTCCATTGGATTAAGTATTTTAAGTAATCTACAGGAAGATAGTGCATGGGTTATATGCAAACATCACACCTTCTCATAAAAGGGACATGAGCACCTGCGGATTTGGGTATCCTGGGAGTGGGGGTTTCTAGAACCATCCCTCTCAGATACCAAGGGACAATGGTATACTGTATATCAGGTAGTCTGGGAGAGCATGGCTAGCCCCAGTAACCAAACATGTGAATGTTTCTGCAGTGAAATGTATGAATATTGACATCACTAGGATAACAGCATATCATGAATAGTTTAGCTTCAGTTTAGATTTTTGTTACCAAATGAGTTTGGTGGCAGGCTGATGAAAAAACATGGTTCTCAGAGTGTTTCTAAGTTTCAGAACTGTGGGTAATAAGGAGTATGGATCTATTAATACCCACAGGAACAATGGCCAGTTATCTAGAGTGCTTATCATGTACTGATCACAACAAACTGTGGAAAATTCTGAAAGAGATGGGAATACCAGACCACCTGACCTGCCTCTTGAGAAATCTGTATGCAGGTCAGGAAGCAACAGTTAGAAATGGACATGGAACAACAGACTGGTTCCAAATAGGAAAAGGAGTACGTCAAGGCTACAGATTGTCACCCTGCTTACTTAACTTACATGTAGAGTACATCATGAGAAACACTAGACTAGGCGAAGCACAAGCTGGAATCAAGATTGCCGGGAGAAATAGCAATAACCTCAGATATGCAGATGACACCACCCTTATGGCAGAAAGTGAAGAAGAACTAAAGAGCCTCTTGATGAAAGTGAAAGAGGAGAGTGAAAAAGTTGGCTTAAAACTCAACATTCAGAAAACTTAAGATCACGGCATCCGGTCCCATCACTTTATGGCAAATAGAAGGGGAAACAGTGGAAACAGTGTCAGACTTTATTTTTCTGGGCTCCAAAATCACTGCAGATGGTGACTGAAGCCATGAAATTAAAAGATGCTTACTCCTTGGAAGGAAAGTTATGAACAACCTAGACAGCATATTAAAAAGCAGAGACATTACTTTGCCAACAAAGGTCAGTCTAGTTGAAGCTTTGGTTTTTCCAGTAGTCATGTATGGATGTGACAGTTGGACTATAAAGAAAGCTGAGTGCTGAAGAATTGGTGCTTTTGAACTGTGGTGTTGGAGAAGACTCTTGCGAGTTCCTTGGACTGCAAGGAGATCCAACCAGTCCATCCTAAAGGAGGTCAGCCCTGAGTGTTCACTGGAAGGACTGATGTTGCAGCTGAAACTTCAATACTTTGGCCACTTCATGTGAAGAGTTGACTCATTTGAAAAGACCCTGATGCTGGGAAAGATTGAAGGTGGGAGAAGGGGACAACAGAGGATGAGATGGTTGGATGGCGTCACCAACTCAACGGACATGATTTAGGGTAAACTCCGGGAGTTGGTAATGGACAGGGAGGCCTGGGGTGCTGCAGTCCATGGGGTCGCAAAGAGTCGGACACGACTGAGTGACTGAACTATCATGTGCTGGGTGCTTCATTATGTACTGTGTCAGTTGATGCTAAAAACATACGTCACAGCATGGGTGCTTTGAACACAGGTGTTATCACTTTGTAATTCTATAAAGTACCACAGAGCAAAGACTATCTAGTTAGGCTGCTGGGATACAACCCTTGCTCTACCACTTAATAGTTGTTTGACTTTGGCAAATTACTTCTCTGTGCTGTTTCCTTATCTGAGAAGAGAAGGATGATATTAGTGTTTATATCTTCACAGGGTAGTTGTGAGGATTAAATGAGTGGCTTTGTGAGAAGTGCCTGTGTGCTTAATCCCCCAGTTGTGTCTGACTCTTTGCAACCCCACGCATTGTAGCCTGCCAGGCTCTTCTGTTCATGGGGATTCTCCAGGCAAGAATACTGGAGTGGGTTACCATACCCTCCTCCAGGGGATCTTCCCAACTCAGGGATTGAAACCAGGTCTCCCTCACTGCAGGCAGATTTTTTGCCATCTGAGCCACCAGGGCAGCCCTAAATGAGCTGCTTCATGAGAAGTGCCTGGCACACAGCAAAGGTTGCTACTAATTAATTTTGCACAGGGACAAATTAAGCATCAAGAAAGTTTAGTTACTTGCCCAATAACACACAGCTGTTAATTGTGGAGCTGGGATTTGAATCCATGCATTGTAACTGCAGAGAGTACCCTCTATCTTACTTTTCATATTACAGGCAAACAACCAGCTAAGAGAAAAAAAGTAGCTACTAACCTAGATATTGTGGCTCAGACCATATAGAATCTGCTTGCAATGCAGGAGACCCGGGTTTGAGCCCTGGGCCAGGAAAATCCCCTGGAGAAGGGAATGGCAACCCACTCCAGTATTCTTGCCCGGAGAATCCCATGGACAGAGAAGCCAGGTGAACTACAGTCTATGGGGTTGCAAAGAGTCAGACCGACTGAGCAATTAACACACAACAATCTAGAGAGATGTGAAGTTTGAGTACTAGTTGCTGTTTGGGTAATGCTGGGCTCCTCATACGGTGGTAGCTCAGAAGTCATAAATGATAGCCATAAGCCAACTTGGTCAACTACTTGCCTGAGTCCCAGGACCAAATAGCTAGCTTATTTTTTCAACCACTGGCCTTCATCTCAGACCCCATCAGTTGCTCATGACCTTGTTCCCCACCAGGAAGACTCACCATCAGGGCCCTGACGGGCAGCGGCATGCAGCGCCGTGTCCCCGTGGCGGTCCTGGTGGGCAGGGTCAGCCCCAAGCCGAAGCAGCAGGCACAGGGCAGGGGCATCGTGGCGGGCGCAGGCCCGGTGCAGAGGTGGGGGCTGCCCAGCATCTACATCAAGGCCTGGGTGTCGCTGGAGGAGGGCTTGGGCCCGGACCAGCCGTCCTGCAGACAAATAGCGACGGAAGCGACGCTCTCGGCGTTGGCGACGGGAAGTGGAGGCCATGGAACTCTTGGGCTGAGGAAGAAGGATAAGAAGGCAGCAGTCAGGACCCCAGCCTTGGATGGTCCCTTCCCCTCAATCTCTGGCATTCTGTTTTCTCCCTTTGGTTCCCCATCTCTTCTGACAATTTTCAACAAGAAATGACGCCAATCCTAACCCTCATCCCTTTACCAGATGAGAAGTTTGAAAAAAATTTTGAGGGGAGCTGGGGTGACTTTTTTTTAAATATAAAATTTGAGAAAAGGATAAATGATTACTTAAAGGCTCATTAGCCCAGGTAAATTTCCATAAAGGATTTTGTTATATAATACAAAACAGAATGATGGGGGAAATTTTTATCAACAGATACCTAATTTTAAAAAGTCATAGACAATTTCAAACAATGATCTAGAAATTGAATATAATGTACCCGGCAGACAGATGTAGAGGCTTCTCCCTCTGGGACTTGGGGGGAGGGGTTACTCATCAGACCTGCCCCCCCCCCCGCCCCCAAGGTACCCCCGGAGCAGTAGGCCCGAAGCCTGTGTTTAAGACGCTCCGAGGAAGGGAGGCGGGAAGGGTGGAGACACTCTAGACTGACGGAAGTGGCGCAAGCCGAGAAGCAGGTAAAGGGCGGAAATGAACTGTGAGGCGTGTTACCGGATGTCGTTCCTCCCCGAGGGGGCAGGATGTGTTTCCTTGGCCCAGACTCCGGGGGGAAACTAGGGAACTTAAGATAAAGGGTCCGTCTGAAACCGGAAGTCTGGAAGACAGGCGCGGAAAAGGAACAGAGCGGCAAAGGCTCTTGGGGAGTTTAACCCCGCCTCCCTCAACTGGGAGGAGAGAGGAGATGGTTCAGTGATAGACGAAAAGATGAGACGAGAGGGAAAACAAAGGAGATAAAAACAAGAAAAAAACCGCAGTGGAAATACAAAACTAAACCCCAAACCACAGTAAGGCCAAGGAAGAGACAGATCATAGAAGAAAAATACAGTAAAAGACAAGGAAAACAACTGTAGGACAAAGTAAATGAGATGAATGGAGAAATTTGGAATTGGAAAGATGTTGCAAAAAAAAGATGGAAATGGGAGGGAGAAAAAAGAGGGGAAGAGAAATTGGAAGAATTCAGAGAGCCCAGATATTCTATTCCCAACATACCACGCATGATAATTTCCTTACCTCCTCACCCCATTCTCAATCTCTCTGCCGCCTTCTCTCCTAAATACTCCTCTCCCCTCGGCCGCCGCCCCCCATTCCTTCCAACTGGGAAAGCTCTGCACCTGCTGTAGTCAGCGGGCAGCTTTGGACCTGGTCTCTGCTGCCACCAGGCGGTAATTCTGAGTACTGCCAGCGTGAGAGGTGGGAAAGGAGGACCAGCCATCAATGGGAGGATGAGTTTGGGGGAGACACCCGGTTCAGGAGGCTGAGCGAAAAGGGGAGCACTAAGACCCAGGGGGAGTGAAAGGCTGCAGCAAAAAGCTGGAGGAGGGATTAGGCGTTGTGGGGGGAGGGAAGAGGGGGAGCCATCTGGTACCTTGGTGGCTTCCGAAACAAACAACATCGGTCATAACAGAAATGGCCAGTCAATCCCAGGGTATCCAGCAGCTCCTGCAAGCCGAGAAGCGGGCGGCTGAGAAGGTGGCAGATGCCAGAAAGAGTGAGTCTCATTTCGTCCTTAGGAATCTGGAAAGAAAATTGGGGGTAGAGAGACAGCAAACCCAAGACTGACGGAGAGAGAGCTGGGGGCTGTGGTTGCTTTTAGGAGGGAAGAGATGGGTGGGTGGTGAGAATCCAGTTCTTGGCTGACAGAGAGAAGGCAGTAACTTTGGGGGAGGGACTGACCCCCTACTCTCACAGTGTGTGTGTGTATGTGTGTGTGTGGCAGGGGTCCTACCCCCCCCCTTTCAGTCCTTTCTTCTGCCTCCAGGGAAGGCCCGGCGTCTGAAGCAGGCAAAGGAAGAGGCACAAATGGAAGTGGACCAGTACCGCAGAGAGAGAGAGCAAGAATTCCAGAGCAAGCAGCAGGCAGTGAGTCATGGGGGAGTTGAGATGGGACCCCCAGTGTGCATGTTGGTGGGTATATCTGGTGGGATGTGTACAGGGTGATTCCACAAGAAAAAGGTGGTCAGGGGTCGAAGGGGACCCTGGTGAGGTCAAGCTTAGTTGTATGTAAGAGAGTCTTGAAGGGGGATGGCTGAGGTCTATGCAGGGTATGATGACATTTGGGGTGGAGGGCAGAATTTTATGGGCATGGGTGGCAAGGATCCCACAGTCTGTTGTAGGATGATGCTGCATGTCAGATCTTAGAGGAGAGGGCATTATGTTGGTCTCTTTGGTGTCCAGATATTTCCGTGATGCGAGTGGTGTCTATCTAGATACTTCCGTGGGTGGGCATGACTCTGGAGAGGGCCTTGCTTCCTGGCCTTGCTCTAGGACCCTTCCACGTGCCTGGATGCTTCTTTTTCTGTTTCTGCTTTTTCTTTTCTCTCTTCCACCCTTTCTCCCACTCCCCAGGCCATGGGCTCTCAAGGGAACTTGTCGGCTGAGGTGGAGCAGGCTACAAGGCGCCAGGTGCAGGGCATGCAGAGCTCCCAGCAGAGAAACCGCGAACGTGTCCTAGCCCAGCTTCTCGGCATGGTCTGCGACGTCAGGCCCCAGGTCCACCCCAACTACCGGATTGCTGCCTAGGACCTAACCTAGGGCCTGACTCCTCCTCCCAGTTCCCTCCTGCCAAGAAATCCCTAAGTCAAAATCAACTTCCACCATAATCCTTCTCTCCCTTACATTCCCTAGAAATTCTAGGAAGCAGGATCCAATAATTCTCCTGTGAAACTTAAACATACCCTGCTTAGACCCAAATCTCCTTATTGCTCTTTCACTGGGACCGTGTAAACTGCCAAGTCACCTTCACTCAGATCCTTTGTGAAATTTGTATCTTGGAGAAGTAGGGATGTGGAAAATACTGACTTCAGGGCCAGGCAGGCTTGGGTCTCTCTCCTGACTTTGCCACTTGCTGGCTGGGCAACCATGACAAGCTACTTAAACTGTAACCCCCGTGTCCTTTGTAAGGCTGGAATACTACTACCTTGTTGTTGCATTAACTAGAAATCATTCTGTAAAGAGCCTAGCATGGTTTCTAGTAGCTGGATTCAATAAATGACAAATCTGTGATATTATAATGACCACCTGCCCATCTGCCAAAACCTAAACACAGCTGTTTTCTCACTTCTGTCTGTGGCTTTCTAATTCTACTCATTCATCTTGTGACCCTCCTAATTCTCTAGAGAATTGGTTCTTCCCATCTTTCTTTTCCAACAGACCTTATGATCCCCGAAAAGATGAAATGATAGCTTTATTTAGCCTCTCTATTGTGGTTCCAGGAAGATGTTTGCATTTTTTTTAGCCTTTTTGTCTCTCTTAAGTTGGTCTTTCTCTTTATTGGCTTTCCCCCTTTTCCTGTTTCCCCAAAGAACCATCAGATGCTTACTTTTCCTGAGATCTAAAGTGATGTTGTGTCCCCTTGTGTGCATGACCTTCCTTTTACATCCTCAACACCATACTTTCCCTTTGTAACAATAAAAGTGTCAATAAAATAATTATGGGCAAATCAACTGGTGGGTCGAGCCAGCTTCCTTTTGCTTCTCATTTTCAGTCATTTTTGTTCCTTACTTATGTATTCTACACTCAAAAGGGCTGTCCTTTGAAGCTTGTTGGAGAAACAAAAGCAAATGGCACATAAGTTTTTCTCTTAAGTGAGAAACACGTGGCTCCTCCTTTGCAAACCTGAGGACTATAGATGGTAACTAGAGAGAAAATCTGAAGGGTAGTAACACTGCTTTGGCATTGCTTTGTAATGCCATTACTTCTTAAAGTAAAGTAAAGGTAGTAACATTACTTTGGCCACCTGATGCGGAGAGCTGACTCATTTGAAAAGACTCTGATGCTGGGAAAGATTGAGGGCAGGAGGAGAAGGGGACAGAGGATGAGATGGTTGCATGGCATCACCGACACAATGGACATGGGTTTGGGTGGACTCCGGGAGTTGGTGATGGACAGGGAGGCCTGGCGTGCTGTGGTTCATGGGGTCGCAGAGTCGGACACGACTGACTGACTGACTGAACTGAACTGAACTGAAAATTGATTTGTTTTCCTTCATAGCATTTATCTGTACTTGACATGTCTCCCCTACTAAGTGAACTCTTTGATGATAGGGCTGTTCATTGCTATGTACCCAGATCTTAGGATAGCACTTGACGCAGGACTGGCAGCTGATAAATGCTACTGAAGAAAAAAGATATTGTGTGTTGGAAAAACTGCCCTTCTGTAACATCATCCTTGAATCACTGTTCTCTCTTTTGGCCACAGAAAACGAGCCTTGAACCAATGAGGTTATCTGTAGTGTATTTATTAAGCACTCTTTAATCAGGGAGATGGGATACAGTAGAGAATAAAGAGATGTCTACGTTCTGGCTCTGTCACCTTGTTAGCTGTATTACTTTGGACATGTTGATTTATTTCTTTGAATCTCTTTGCTTGATATAGAATGAGAATGGTACACCTTGGTGTTAAATGATTAAGTGATAACAGGTAAAGGGTCAAACGTTTGTTATCAGTTTTGTTAAGTCACATCTGACTTCTCTAGCATATAAAAGCGAGGCGAGAGATATCAAATGTTTCATTCAGGAAAAATATCCAGGATGAACCAAGGGAGGGGTTATTGGGTAAAGGGTTAAGCACATTTTGGTTGAAATAACAACATTTATAAAATATTATATAACACTCAGGTTTTCCTGGTGGCTCAGTAGGTAAAGAATCAGCCTGCAATGCAGGAGACCTGAGTTCAACCCCAGGGTGGAAAAGATCCCCTGGAAGAGGGCATGGCAATCCACTCCAGTAGTCTTGCCTGGAGAATCCCATCGACAGAGGAGCCTGGTGGGCTACAGTCCATGTGGTCGCAAGAATCTGACACGACTTAGCGACTAACCCAACAGCATGTAACCCTCATGCCCTAGTATTTATCATTAACCCTTGGGGCAGAAGCTAGACCCCCAGTCCTGCACTCAGTGGCTTCAGAACACCTTCCTGACTTACAGCCCAAGCCCACGGCCCTTAAGACATCAGATACATCAGTCAACTATTACTTTGGGTAAATGCCGCCCACCAGCTCCAAGACTGGGGAAAAGGTAAGGGGTAGGATCCGTCAGAACTACTCACTACCCACACCTGGCGCTGGCCGTTCCCTAACCAGCGCCCCCAGGTCACCTTGACTACCGGGCCAAGGACCCCGTGGGAACTCGAAGTCCCGCCACCTTGGGTCCTCCTGCGCCCGCGGAGGGGTGCCCAGAGAGAATACCTGAGTGGCAAGAATCTAAATGGAGAGGCGCGGCAAAGAACTGGACAAGCGGAAAAAAATATAACAATGGGAAGGATTATAGTTTCCTTGATGTGTTTCTGGTAGTAGCGAAGGAGTAAGAAGTGGCTTAAAAATTTTTTTTTTCACGCAGTCATTTTCTAAAGGCAATCCTGGAGCGCGCTGAACTACACAACTGTGGAAGGCCCGTCTTCCGGTTCTTTGCGCCTGCGCGCTCGCATCAACGAAGGCGGGAGGCCGGGGTGGAGGGAAACCGGGAACCGGAAGTGAAGGCAGATTCCCTTCTTCGTCGCTGTTGCCGCCGCCATACGTCTTTTTGCCTTGCTCAGGTAAGCTTTGGCCTTCGGCACCATCCGCCTCCATCTGCGTTTCTCTGCGGCCATCCTGCCGCACGAGCTCCTGATAGCCCTTGTACAGGCCATGGTCTGATTGCTGCAGTCTGATTGGGTCGTTAGTTCCATCGCTTGCATCTTTTTCGAGATGAAGAAAGTTTGGGGGGGAGGGAGGGAGGGAAGCTGGGGGGGGGGGAACCCAATCCAAGATGGTGGCCCCGGCGCCATTGTGTTTTCTTTGCTTCTCGCTCCTTCGGTGGGCCCCTCGATTACTCGAGGCCCCAGTGACATTGAGAGGCGGCGCTAGGCGTCCTCTGGGCCTGGGTATTGGTGGAGGGCGGGGTCTTCTCACTTTCCCGCTTATTTCTGGGTCCTGGGTCCGCGGCGGGAATACGAAGAGGAGCCGGCTTTTAGGCCTACCTGGACATTTTTCACCTCGATTGCCCACCGTTATTTGGAGCACTTCTAAATGTGTACGGGTGGTGTCATTGTGTGTTTTTCGGAAACGACTCATACCTGAGAAGTAACGCAACGGTGATGTGACTGATGGAGGAGTGGGTTTTTTCTCCTGGCCGGGCCATTCTCTAGCCCCCACCCTCCTCCGCCACCATCACCGAAGGACTTTTTACGCGCAGGTATGAAGTGTCTGAGGAGTGGGAGACTGGAGTGTTGGGAGAGATGGATGGCAGCCACATGTTTCCATTTTGAAAAGTGAGCGCTTTGCGCAATGACGACCGTAAATCTATCACCCTTGACTGATGGCTCCTGTCGGCACCTTGAGATTATAGGGAAAGCACAAGGTCTTTAATTGATAATTTTTCATTTTATCACTTAACATTCTCCAGTCTTGTAAGTTGTTAGTAGTAGTCTGTTTTTTATGTGTTTTTAATTTTTTTGTCCTTACTGCTGTCCCGGAGCAGGAATTTAGAAGCTGACCTTGCCTTTCTAGCTTTCCGGTTTCTGCTTCTCCGATCCTCTTTTTGGGAACCTATGTCCCAATCACCACCCCTGGGGAACACACTTTTCCCATTCCGTATGTTATGTTTGCCTTTTGTTTCTTTGTCTTGTGTTTTTTTGTTATTTTTTTTTTTTTCTTTGTTACTTTTGTTTCCAGGTACATGTGTCATAGTTTAGGGAAAGAAGAGTGTGGGGATGGACAGGATAGATGGTGAAGGCTCTGCTCATGACTGATGTCTCCTCCCTGTTTTTTTCCCCCCCAGCTCTTCTGTCAGAAACTAGTGTGTTTCTTTTCCTCTTCTGTTCCTCAAGCCCCCCCTCCCCCTCCTCCTCTTGTCTTCCTTTATTCTGCGTTAACCCATCTGGAGACCCTTCCCCTTCGCCTGCCGGCTCAGTTATGGCGGAGAACGATGTGGACAATGAGCTCTTGGATTATGAAGATGATGAGGTGGAGACGGCAGCTGGGGGAGATGGGGCTGAGGCCCCTGCCAAGAAGGATGTCAAGGGCTCCTATGTCTCCATCCACAGCTCTGGCTTTCGTGACTTCCTGCTCAAGCCAGAGTTGCTCCGGGCCATTGTTGACTGTGGCTTTGAGCATCCGTCAGAAGGTAAATTTCCTGTTCGGCATAGAGTACTCATTGGTGCTTTAAGGATACAAGAAAACAGATAATAGTTATGGTCCCTTACAGATTTATATATTGGATAGATCAGGAAATAAGTACCAGAACCTATTTCAGCAGTAGAAGATGTTGATATAGGTTAGTCTTTATTCATGATAGTATGTAAGTGCTAGTGATTTCAAGGAAACTTAGAGTGTCTCTTCTCCTTGTCTCCTTGTTTTAAATTTTGTCTTTTAATTTAAATTTTTCAAAGAGGAGCTCTTTGGACCCTTGGACCAAGTCAACTCTGGTCTCTGCAAACTTTTATGGCTGGTCTAAAGATAGCTGGCTTTTGGGTCAAGTACCAAGTTCTTCCCTGGTGGCTCAGACAGTAAAGCGTCTGCCTGCTATTTGGGAGACCTGGGTTCAATCCCTGAGTCGGGAAAATCCCCTGGAGAAGGAAATGGCAACCCACTCCAATACTCTTGCCTGGAAAATCCCGTGGACCGAGGAGCCTGGCAGCCTACAGTCCATGGGGTCGCAAAGAGTTGGACATGAATGAGCAACTTCACTTTTACCAAGTTCTTCATTTTGCCCAAGGTTGCACAGTTGTGTCATCCAAAGCATGACAGTCTGAATAGGAGAAGTAGCCTGTGACAGGCACTCAAAAATCATGGATTGTTACAGATTAAGGAACATTGGGACAGAGGAACACCTAAGATGACCAATTGGTAGATGCCCAGAGGGTTGATACAGGACTTTGGGCCCTGGAGTTAGAAGAGGCTGATACTAGAAGGAACTGGAAAGGTCTTGATTTGGGAATCACTTTGATCGAGGGACTTCCCTGGTGGCTCAGTTGGTAAAACGTCTGCCTACAGTGTGGGAGACCTGGGTTCGATCCCTTGGTCAGGAAGATCCTCTGGAGAAGGAAATGGCAACCCACTCCAGTACTCTTGCCTGGAAAATCCGGAGGGCGGAGGAGCGTGGTAGGCTACAGTCTATGGGGTTGCAAAGAGTCAGACACGACTGAGCGACTTCACTTTCACTTTCACGGAGCAGAGAGAAAGGGGTATGGAAATTGACAAGAATTAAGAATTGAGTGGTGAGAAATGGGTTTGGCCAGGTGCAAAAATGTGGTGGAGTTCTCTGGAGATTGGAGTCTAATTTACCTTTTCTTCCCTACTTCTAGTCCAGCATGAGTGCATCCCTCAGGCCATCCTGGGAATGGATGTCCTATGCCAGGCCAAGTCAGGCATGGGAAAGACAGCAGTGTTTGTGCTGGCTACACTGCAACAATTGGAGCCAGTTACTGGACAGGTACACTTGGGGAGAGTGCTGGGCAAGGCATCTTGGCTAGTAGTGTTCAGGAAGGGTGTTGTCTCAGCTACATGATGCTTTCAGAGCTGTGAGTTCTTGATGCTAAGATGACCTTTATCATTCTTGACTGAGAGCCCTGGGGAATATTCTGTAGTAATCATGGGGTTAATGATTTAGATCCGGAATTGTAGCCACTTGTGATCTGCTGGGTATGCTTTTGTGACATCCTTGGTGAAGGGATATACTGTCTGTGTCTTCATCTGCTGTCCCCCCACCCCAGGTGTCTGTACTGGTGATGTGTCACACTCGGGAGTTGGCTTTTCAGATCAGCAAGGAGTATGAGCGCTTCTCCAAATACATGCCCAGCGTCAAGGTAAGCCAGGGTAAGAGACTTGGGGGAATGAGGGTGTGGGGAGTTGGAGGCATTGGGGACTTGCTAGATCAGTAGTCTTCACGTCACACAGGTATTAAATACCTGTACACAAATAAACGTGTAGGACATAGTTCCTGCAACTTAGGTGTGTAAAAGATTTACGTTTGGATGTGAATTATACTTTTAGAGGTGCCTGCTATATTCTGATTAAGGAGAAACTTGTTTTGCTTTTTTAAAAAAAATTATTTTACTTCACAACATTGTATTGGTTTTGCCAACCATTGACTTGAATCTGCCATGGGTGTACATGTGTTCCCTATCCTGAACCCCCTTCCCACCTCCCTCCCGATTGTTTTGCTTTTTAACCCATTGTATTGGTATGTGTATACACTGTGTTAGTGTGTATCTACACTGTGTCAGTATGGGTGTGCCTTGTGTAGCTGTGATATTCAGGGTGTGGTTTCCAGACCTGTGGTTTCAGTGTCACTTGGGAGTGGTTGGAAATGTAGATAACATGGGTTCCACCCCAGACCTATCTAGTATGAACAAGATTCTCAGGTAATTGTGGAGTTTGAGAAGCATATGTATATGCTTGATGTATTCTCTTTGGGTGAAAAAATATAGTTTTGTTCAGATTAACAATTTCCTCCTTAATTATTATATTTAGAACTAGGAATATTTGAGTAGTAGCCCTAGATTTAATTTGTTTAAAATAGTAGTACTTGAGCTTGGTAAAATGGTAGTTAATCCAAAAGATCTTATGATGAATTTGTGTTCTCCTGTCTAATCATACTTCACAGAGTACCACTTGTTAACTTTTTTTTACTTCTGATGTTTTGTGAAACCAAGTATTAGGCACTATTTTCTCAATTTGTCTTAAAAGCCATTTTGACTTTTCATGTAAGACTGTTTAGCTTGTTTACACTGTTCTTTTTCCCAGAACTTGGGGAAGCTATTTAATTTTCTAAATATAGTCAAAGCTCTATGTGTATGTGTCAAGTATATCTGTGTTCTTACATTGTCAGTTTCGTTAGCATTTACTTTCTGTCCTTTTAGCAAGTAGTCTTGTTTATAGGTTGAAAACAAAACAGTTTCCATTGTTATGACTATGAAAACATTTGTTGTTGTGCTCAGTAGAAAGCTAGGTTGTAGTTCCACCTCTGTAGGTCTAATTCATCACCTCTTGGACTCAAAAGAGGATGTTTTTGGTGTCAAGATCAAATATAAATTTGATGAGAGAGTCTTTTTGTCCTTTTGCTCAATATTATGCTTCAGTGATTTGATAAAAGAGATTGGGCTACTTCTGCAGAATGTCCTACCTCTGGATTTGTCTGGTTACTCTCCTGTGGTGGTGTTTTAACTTGTTTTTCACTCCCAGTGTTTCCTGTAAACTGAATTTTTTTTTTTCTTTTTCTTTTTGCTGTGCCACCTAGCATGTGGGATCTGAGTTCCCCCACTAGGGGTCAAACCCATGCTCCCTGCATTGAAAGTGCAATAACCACTAGACCGCCAGGGAAGTCCCTAAACTGAAAGTTATGTTTGAAAGCTTAACTGATTCAAGTTAAAGATTTTTGGCAAGAGTTCTTCATAGATGATGCTGTGTATCTCCTGTTTTGTTGCAAACCACTTGTCCCACAATTAACGGTTTTAGATTTACCCTAGACTTAGGGCTATGACGGTCTGATCCCTTGATTGGTCTCCCCCTTTTGAAACTAAAAAAGCAGTTTCTGATGCTGTATTAAAGGCTCAACAGCCATTTCCCTAATGGTTTTAAGGTGGAGTAACATGTGTAGCCTAAATAGGGTTTATTCAAAGGAATTAAAAAATCTAGGGTCAGTTAGGAACACTTGATACCCGGGAGCTTTTTTTTGGTACTTGACACTGTTAATTTCTTGCCATCCTCATTTTTACAGTGAAGCCTGGCTTTGGAGTGGAGAAGGAAAATTGTTAGATTAAGTCAGAACTAGATACTAGTCCTCAGAGCCATGATCAGCCATGTACTTTAGAACAGGTCACTTTTGTTTCTTAGATTGAATGTTTGGGGGATATGATACTTTCAGATTAGGTGATCTCATGTTCCATTTAGCTCTGAAATGTTCTGAGGATTGGTTTAGAGCAAATTGAAAGGATGGGAACCTTGGGAAGGTTGACCCGACCCTTCCTTGTGAAATATTGTTCTCTTCTGGGTTGGCAGGTCGCAGTGTTTTTTGGTGGTCTGTCTATCAAGAAGGATGAAGAGGTGCTGAAGAAGAACTGCCCGCATATCGTCGTGGGGACCCCTGGCCGCATCCTAGCCCTGGCTCGAAATAAGAGCCTCAACCTCAAACACATAAAACACTTTATCTTGGATGAATGCGATAAGATGCTTGAACAACTCGGTGAGTTGTCCCAGTCGGGCTGGGGCTGGTCTAGTGATCTGGGAAGTTGCCTTTTGGAGCCAAATGATGCTTATTTGATACTGGAGCACTTTAGTGCCAGGACGACTCTTAATCTATCACCCATGACTGATGGCTCTGGCTTCCCTGGTCAGTCTCTGTTAGGCTTGTTAACCTTCCTTGTTGATCAAGGAGAAGGGTATCATGTTCTTCCTTTTTGTGGTAGATGTTTATCTTTGAGAGGAGGGACTTAGGTGATCTTGGATGTTAGTCACACCACCATTGTGTCCTTCGTAAATCTCTATAGTGGGTGTCACAGGGAAGAAAATGGAGCTGGAAAAGGAGACAGTCTGCTTGTTTGGCATCCTCAACTCAGCGTGTATCATCAGATTTATAGCTGAATAAATGTTTCGACTTGAGTTCTGGAATGAATGTGGAGAGTGTGTGTGGGAGTCTGTGTGGTGTGGTGTTCCAGTGTGCCAAGTGCTATGAAGAAAGGAAGATGTTTTATGAGAACTCAAATTTGGTGAATGAGACTAGGGACGGGCATATACCCAGGGATAAGTCATTCCAAATGATCTTTGGCTATTCTAGATGGCGAGCTATAAAGTGGGCTCCAAGTAGAGATGTCATATTTGCCTGACTGGATAGGACAGTGTGATCCAGAGGAAGCGTGGAATGGACTCTGACAGCTGGAATGTAATAGGTGCGCGATATTGGTAGACAGTTGGAGCTTGGGGAGAGAGGAGTAGGGAGAAGGGCTTTGTAAGGACTTAATCTTTCTAAGCCTCTGCAGTGGGCTTTATCCCCATTTTCTAGTTGTGGGCTTTGGGGTTTCATCTAATTTCTTGTGTGGTTAAAATACACGGCTGGAACCTGGTCCATAGTCACTGTTCTTCCCGCTGTGTTATAACCCTGGACATGATTACATGGTGGTTGGAGATAATAGAGTAGAGAGAGACCCAAGGCAAATCTTAACCCTGACCTGCAACTCTCGGCTCACCCATTTCCAGCAGTCCTTACCTGTCTCTGATCTTCATTTATGATATATGTCTCTTTTCTACTATAATTTTTTTTTCTTTCTCCTGTAGACATGCGTCGGGATGTCCAGGAAATTTTTCGCATGACCCCCCATGAGAAGCAGGTCATGATGTTCAGTGCTACCTTGAGCAAAGAGATTCGTCCAGTCTGCCGCAAGTTCATGCAAGACGTAAATACCCTTCTACCTTCTCTCCCTCCACTCCCCGCCCGCTGCCTTCTCCCCCTCCGCGCCCTCTTCCTCCAGACTCCCTTGTCCTTCAAGCGCCAAGAAGGGGGCACGTGCCCATTTGAAAGTGATGACTCCTTGAAGAGACACACAGAGGCAGAGACAGTTAGTGTTAGGGTCTGCGCGGCGCCAGGGAAACTCCGGAAGACTTGGTCGGGTTAATGTGAGAGCGGGTAGTGTTCGACTTTTTTTTTTTTTCATCACAGCATTTTTGAACCTCTTCTCCCTTTTGGGGGAGGGCAGGATTTTCTGCCCTACCACCCACCCATCGTCTTCTACATACCCCCTACAGCCACGCACCCTCAAGGTGGCATCGTGCATACAGCTGGAGCCTTCTGCTCCCCAAACTCACAACCTCCCGGTGGCAGGAGAGCAAGAGAGGGACAGACAGATGGCAGGGCATGTCCAAAAGAAGAGCAAACAGCACACATGAATCCGCTCCCTCCCCACCTCCAGGGGTGGGGGCCTTTGGCACCTCAATCCCCGAGTCCATACTCCTTCCTACCCGTACCTCCTCGCACCCGTCGGAACCTCGGTTGATGTGAGCTGGCAGCAGAGAAGCACCGTGGCGCGGCGGGGGAATGCGGACGCACCCGGCGGTGGATGGCGGCAGCGGAGGCCGCGGGGAACCTGACCAGGAAGCTGAGGACCAAACCAGCCTCTTTTTCCGTTCCCGGTTTTTTTCCTGAACCCAAGGCGTGCCGTGCTCCCTGTTTCTTTCCATTTGTGTTGGTGGGGAGGGGTGTTTTGAGTGGGGTGGTAGATTTTTTTTTCTTTTCAACTCTCTTAATATTCAGAGGGATATGGAAAAAGTAAAGTGAGGAGCTCCACTTGGGTGTAACCAGGTGGTGGTAGGGTCTGGGCTAGGCAGGCCCTTGTGTAAGCAGTGGAGTATGTTCTTTCCCTCCCTCCCTGCTGTGCTCCTTCCCGTGGGACCATAACTCTTACCTTTAGCTATATTTGGGATTCAATTTAGATAGGAAGGAAGCCATGGAACTTCTCTTTGGAAATCTTTCCTTTGCTAATCTGCATTCTGAAGTTCGGCTTCTGGTTTTCTCCTATAACACACTTATCCTTTCCCCAAATCTTGTACCCTGGGGTTTTATGTTAACCATGGCTTCATGGTGGCTCAGATGATAAAAAATCCACCTGCAATGCGGGAGACCTGGGTTGGGAAGATTCCCCTGGAGAAGGGAAAAATTACACACTCCAGTATTCTTGCCTGGAGAATCCCCATGGACAGAGGAGCTTAGTGGACTTCATTCCATGGTGTTACAAAGAGTCGGGGACAACTGAGCGACTAAGCACAGCACACAAAGGGAAATTGGGTTTTAGAGTTGACTTTTGTGCCAGTTACCACTTTTTTTTTTTTGTAAATGCTATCTACCTTCCCTTCAAGGGTTGTGTGTGTGTGTGTTTTGTTTTTAAAGATGACTGAGTAATTCTGCTGCTCTGAATTTGCTTCTTAGCACCACTCATTGTACCTTCCTCGTGACACTGTAGATGGTTTGATTTTTCGTTCAGAGACCAATCTCATCTAAAACTATTTCCTTGTGGTCTGAGGGCAAATTGCTACTCATCTTGAGTAATCTTTGCCTCTCTTTTCATGGCATTTTGACCTTAAGTCCATTGAAGCATTCTGATCTTCCACCTTCCTAATGGAGATATGGGAAGACATTTACCTTCCTTATGGAGATATGATTCTCCTAGTTGAGAGATTATTCGAATGGAGCTCTCCCCTCCTCTCCCCCGTATTAAGCCAGCTCGGGTGGAATTATTCTGACCTCGAGTCGCTGTTGCTGTGATTTCCCAGGTGTTTGCATCATGTTCTCGCTTTGAGAACTATTTCCCTTTGTTTCTTTCCTCCATCACCTCTGTTTGAGGTAATGGCATCTCGCCATTGGATGGTTGGACTCTGCCCTTTTCTCCCTGCAGAGTTCTTTCCCATAACAATTTTCAGTTGGGAAATTTTAAAACTCAACTGATAGGAAGGAAATCAGATCTAATGTACAAAAGACCACATTAAATTGTGGGTATTTTTGGGGGTGGGGCTGGGTTTTCAATCTTCTCTCTTCTCCCCATCCCCCCATGGGGTGTATTGGAGATCAACTTCCTCCACCCCCCCAGGTTTAACCCCCCCACTCTGCCCTCCTCCCGTTCCCCACCCCTTCCCTTCCCCCTCCCCCCCCCCCCCAGCCAATGGAGATCTTCGTGGATGATGAGACGAAGCTGACGCTGCATGGATTGCAGCAGTACTACGTGAAACTGAAGGACAACGAGAAGAACCGGAAGCTCTTTGACCTTCTGGATGTCCTTGAATTCAACCAGGTCAGTTGTCCAAGGTCCAATAGGGAGAATGAGTACATCTCCAGTTGTTGGCAGAAACCTTTTTATTGAGGAAGCCATGTATGCCATGTGAAAGAGAATGGTGGAAAAATTATTTTAAATGAAAGAAAGACTTAGGGGCTAAGCGTGAGCATGATGGGAACTGCTTTTCTGTTCCATGCCTGACACAGAAAGTAAATCTCAAATTATAAAATCCTTGAGTCAATAAAGTTGGTGAGATTCCCACAATAATTAGACATGTTAGGTTCTTAAATTTGTGTTTTGCACTGCTCACCTAGGGAGAAGTGTTTCATCACTTTACCTGTTATGTGATTTGCCTGCACTAAAAATCATTTTCTGTAAGCTCTTACTGTGTTTGATGTTTTGGTGAGTTGGGAATATTGGTCATATCTTTCCAGACTTCAGTTCAGATTTTTACTGTTCTTGTGTGGCGGCTTCATTCTTGTCTCCTGGTGTATCTGGTAGTTTTGGTTACTGTTTTCTATATCCTCTGCAGCATGTTTGTCTGCTCAGGAAAAGTCAGAGCCAAGAGGGAAAGACTTAGTATTTAGAGCAGAAGAGGAAGTATGTGATAGGGACTAAAGATTTCTTTTAGAAGAGTGTAATTACTGAGAACTCCTGCACGTAATCTTTCTCACACCCACATGGACGCACATCCCTCCAATCTCATACACACCACGCACGCACACAGGTGGTGATATTTGTGAAGTCTGTGCAGCGTTGCATTGCCCTGGCCCAGCTCCTGGTGGAGCAGAACTTCCCAGCCATTGCCATCCACCGCGGGATGCCCCAGGAGGAGAGGTGAGTCAGAGATGGACAAGATGTTTTGTGTCCTTGCGAGCAAAAGGTACCCTTGAGAGGAGAGAATCTCAACACTTTTTCTGCTTTCCTTTCTCATAAAGGCTTTCTCGGTATCAGCAGTTTAAAGATTTTCAACGACGGATTCTCGTGGCTACCAACCTGTTTGGCCGAGGCATGGACATCGAGCGGGTGAACATCGCCTTTAACTATGACATGCCTGAGGATTCAGACACCTACTTGCATCGGGTAAGCCCCACACCTGGAAGATATCCCAGTGTCCTTTCCCACCCCTTCAGTTTCTTTATCTTGCATTTCATTCCTCCTTTTGTGTGTCTTCCTTCTGTGGGACCTGCCTATCCTATCACGTGTCTCCTTCCAGGTGGCCAGAGCAGGCCGGTTTGGCACCAAGGGCTTGGCCATCACATTTGTGTCAGATGAGAATGATGCCAAGATCCTCAATGATGTGCAGGATCGCTTTGAAGTCAATATAAGTGAGCTGCCTGATGAGATAGACATCTCCTCCTACAGTGAGTAATGATCTCATGAAGCTGCTTCCCCCAGTCCTTTAGATGCTCTTCATTGCTTAATGGGTTTTTTCTTAAAGCCCTTGGTGCATGGTGGCCACTTGACAAGTTCATCATCCATATTTCTGCCGCCCCCACCTTGATGCTCTGTTGGGATGTTTAGTTGACCTGTGTATGGGGGTCTTTTCTCATCAAATTATTTCTCTTTCTGTACCCCCAGACCTATCCTCTGACCCACACACCACACAAACATCTGGATGTGTTGGGAGAGGGTTGTTTGTGCCTATTTTGATTTTTTTAAAAAACTTTTTCCCACATTCTAGTCTAACTGCTGCATTTTCTCTTCAGTTGAACAGACACGGTAGAGGACTCACCCACCCATTCTGGAATGTGACAGTTCCTCTTCAGGAGACCATACCAGGCGTGGGGGTGAAGGAGACACTACTGCTACCAACCCCGGACAGCCCCAGTCCCCCACCCCATGACTTCCCTCTGGCATCACCACCACTCCTAAAGCCCATTTCCCTGATTTGTCGGAATTTTTTTTTTTTTTTTAACAAAACTAAAAAACTCATGTGTCTGTGGTGTCTATAAGCGTTCCATCCCTTTATTGGATTTGGGGTGAAGTTGTTCTGGGGGACATAATCCAGAGTAAATTCCTGTGGGGACTGTGTGCCCTACTGTGAGCTGAGGTCACCGGGAGGTGTTGAACTGCGATGTGAGTGTAAACACTGCAGAGGCCATGACTTCTCATGACTATCCAACTTCTGGATCTTTTGTGGCAGTTTCTTCTGTTTTCTTAGGGCCTGGGAGAGGCTGGGATATTGCTGATCCAAGGGCTGGGGAGGGTGGCGTGCAGTTTTCAGGGCTGGAGGGTGAAGGGGCCACTGGTGGAAAGCTTAGGCAACTTCTCCTAGGCTCTCTCTGTGTCTCCGCATCTGTTCCTTTAGCTTCTGTGTCTTGAGCACCAGGGCCTGGGCTTCCCAGGCCCCCTCTTGCCCTTCCACCAGGGCCTGGTACAGCTCCAGCTCCTGCTCCAGCAGCTCCTCCGCCTGGGCCAGCTCAGCTGTGGGGCGGGGCTGGGGCTCCTGGGGGGGGGGGCAGGGCATTAGGGAGAGGTCATCAGCCAGAACTGAGGGCTGAGCCTCACTGGAATTCAGGAATTCTACCTCCGCCCCATTAATTTGAGGTCATCTTAACTGCAGAGCCAAAGCAGTTTCCTGTCTTGGGCATAGTCCTGGAGTGGGGTGTGGGGTGGTGGTAGTTAGAGATCACGGCCCAGGGGCTGTAACTGGACTTGAAGGTGCATTTGGGAAAGGGAGAACTGGCTGTCCCAACCCTCCTGAGAAATAATTAACTGTTAGATGAGGGGATGTTATTCTGTTAAGGACTCTGTGAACTGCAAGGAGGGTAGGGTGCAGATAGAGGGTGTCTTGGGGTTGTGAGTGGGGTGGGGGCAGGGAGGGTGCTTTAAGGAACTGAGGGTTGGGACTAGGCCACAAGCGTGGGGGGTGGGGGCATGTGCTGTGCTGTGCTTAGTCGCTCAGTCATCTAGGACTCTGTGACCCCATGAACTGTAGCCCTCCAGGCCCCTCTGGATAATCCATGGGGATTATCCAGGCAAGAATACTGGAGTGGGTTGCCATGCCCTCCTCCCAACCCAGGATCTTCCCAACCCAGCCATTGAACCCATGTCTCCTGCACTGCAGGTGGATTCTTGATCATCTGAGCCACCAGGTCTGCTTTCCGCTGACCTGTGGTGACATGGAGGGGATTCTCTGCCCCCCGGTACAAATTTGCCCTCATGTCCTCCACCTTCCTTGGTGCCACTTACCCTGGAGGGTGACATCTTCCCACTGCGTGTGGAGCTTGTCTCTTCTGTGCTCCTCCTGGGACCTTGGGAACAGCACCTCCAGGAGCCCTGAAGTGTGGGGGCCCAGGATGGCAGGAGGAGGTGACGGCAGCATCGGGAGAGCCAGACCAGAGGGAGGACCATGGCGGGTGAGGCAGGGAGCTGTCTGAGCCACCTCGCAGCCACCAGGAACTGGCTCCCTCCGGGCTGTGGCCTCGCTTCAATGCCTGGCCCTGCCCCTGCCCTGCTCTGTTGCACCCACCCGCCTCCCAACCTGGCCCCAGAGTCCAGGAACTCAGGTTCCCTAGTGTGAAGTTGTTTCTGCCAGGCAAAATTTGCTTTAGAACTCTAGTCCCCAGTCTACCGTGTCTTCTGTCAGTAATTGTTAGCACTGTGTTTCTTACTCATTCCTCTCAGTTCTGCAAGGGAGAATGAATTACGTTACTGCTTGGCAGATGAGGAAATGCTCAGAACTTCATTCAGCACTCACGCATTCAGCAAGTATGGGCTGGGACCTGCTCTGGGTCAGATGTGCTCAAGGCTCCACAGCCTGTTGGAAAAGCCTAGGTCTGCCAGACTTAAAAGCTCACACCCTTGACCTGGCTCAAGTATTTTCACTTTTATTTCCCTTTCCTCTTCTTGCCGGTGACCTTTCTCTTGTCCCTGTTGTGCATTGTACATTGTTGGGGTTTGCCTCCTCTGTTAAGTCAGCACCGTACACAGGTACCGGTTTCAAGCTTGGTTGAACTGGTGAGCACTCCCATTGAATCTGCACTAGAACAAAAGCCTTGTCCACTCACTGGGGCTTGTATACTGGACTTCCTGCAGTGTGTCCTGAAATGTCCTGTTGTGGCTAGAGGGCACAGCCATACCCCTGGCTCACAGAGCGGATGGTTCCAGCTTTGACCTTCTAGGAAAAAGTAGGTCCTCAGAAAAACATGCCCCAGAAAGCAAGGTTGCTGGACAGTGGACAGCTGTAGTTTCTCTCTGGGACATCACACTGAATTTGGAGGAAGATGGCCTCTGCCATAGTGTGGGGGTCAGAGGAGCAGACAGGGAGACCTTCCTGGAGGTCAGTGGTTCTTGAACTTGGGTTGAAGCAACTTGAGATGAAGTCAGAGATCTCTGGGTTCCCCATTAGTTGGCAGGTACTCATTTTTTAGTGGAAAAAGAATGGAGAGTTCCTGTATGATTTTGGAGGAGACAGGCCTTCCCTCTTCTCTCAGTGATAGGGTTATATGTAGGGGCTCATTTTTGAACTGCAATGTGTGCACAGCTTAAAGTCTTAATTGTTGAGACATAAAAGGCCCAAACTACTGTTGTTACAGATAAGGGAAGCTAGTACAAGTTTAGACAAGCCACAAGTAACACTGAAGTGAAACTAAGCACATTTATAAATTAAAAGCAAGATTAGCAGCTATTAATTGAGAAACTTCTGTAGGACAGTCTAGATGATGCACTAGTAACAAAGTATCCTACCTGAAAATTAGCCATTTCAATCATCTGAGTTTCAGGTTATGAACTCCAAAGTGGACTAACATCCAGTGATTTGCAGTAGGCAGTCCTAAGCCATGAATTATAGTAGAATCTGGATTTGGCTTTGTCTGTGAGAGCTAAAGAAAAAACTGATATTTGGATCAGTTCAGATCTATTGGATGAGCTGTGGATCTCATAGTAATGGAAACGAAGGGATGAAAATAGATAAATGTAAACCTAGACTTATGTTATTGTATATATTTATTTTTGTTATTCCTGAGGGGCTAATAGTCTCTTTATGTGGTGCAGTTTTATTTATGTCTCATAGTCTTAATCAAATGAGAGGTCTGGCTTGGCCTCTGCAGGAGGGGCCTGTCTTCTGCCAGGGACAAGCAGAGGATTATGGGAGGTGTCTGGCACAAGGTCGAGGGGCTGCTCTGCTGATTCCACCTTTACTGTAGCATCCTGCCCAGTGGATGGGCAGGCCTGAGGGGACTGATGTGAGTCATGTACCCTTCATATGAAACCTGGGGAGATGGGTACTTAGGTATATTTAAGTTCACCCACTGCTTTAATGTGAGAAGTTTACTGAGAGGCACTTTTTGCTCCTGTCACAGGTGACCTTCATGGTAACTTTTCAAGAGAACTTTCTCATTTCACTTTTTTGACATGTGAATGTCCAGTTGTTCCAGCACCATTTATGTATTCTATTCCTGGGTTCTCTGTCCTGTCCACTGACCTACTTGTTTTTTTTTTTCCACCAATACCACATTGTCTTGATTAGCATAGCTTTATAGGAAGTCTTGAACTGAGGTAGGGTTTTCAAGTGTCCACTGACTGTTCTATAGTGTACTGACTGTTCCAGCTCTCTGGCCTGGAATCAGTTTTAGAATCAGTTTGTCAATACAGGCATTCCTTGGAAATATGGGTTTGCAGACCGCTGCAATAAAGTGAGTCACATGAATTTTTTGGTTTCTCAATTTAAATATATAAAAGTCATATTTATACAATGTGTGCATGTGTGGGCTCAGTCACTAAGTTGTAACCCCATGGATTGCACCCCACCAGGGTCCTCTGTCCATGGACTTTTTCCAGGCAAGAATAGTGGAATGGGTTGCCATTTTCTTCTCAAAGGGATCTTGCCCACCCAGGGATTGAACCTGTCTCCTGCATTTCCTGTATTGGCAGGCAGATTCTTTATCTCTGAGCCACTGGGGAAGCCCATATATACTTTATACTGTAGTCTGTTAAGTGTGTAACAGCATTATGTCTAAAAAAGCAATGTGCATACCTTAATTAAAAAATAATGCTGTTGGAAAAATGGCACTGATAGAGTTGCTTAACACAAGGTTGTCACAAACCTTTGATACGTAGAAAATGCCAGTATACTTTATTTTTTATGGAAGTATAGTTGAATTACAATGTTGTATTAATTACTATACAGCAAAGTGACTGGCTATATATATATATTTTTTCATATTCTTTTCTATTATAGTTTATCATAAGATATTAAATATAGTTTCCTGTGCTATAAAGTAGGACCTTGTTTATCCATTCTATATACACCAGTTTGCATCTGCTAATTCCAAACTCCTAATTCAACCCTCTCCCACCACTCTCACCTGATTCTATTTCTTTTTCATAGGTTCATTTGTGTCATATTTTAGATTCCACATATGGATGATATCATATGGTACTTTTCACCCAGCTTCCCTTAATGTCAACATCTATCAAAACTATGTTGAGACCAAGAAATTAAGAAGTTAAAATTCGTACAATACCATTAGCTAAGCTATAGACTGTTTGGATTTCACCAGTTTTTCCACTAATGTCCTTTGTTTCAGGATCCAGTCCATGGTACCAGGCATTAGGTTGTCATGCCTCCTTAGTCTCCTCTGATTTGTTGAGTTTCTTACTCTTTATCTGTTTTCATGAACATTTTGAAGAGTACCAGACAGAACATTTGGAGAATATCACTCAGGTTGGGTTTGTCTAATATTTTCTCATGATTAAATTGGGTTTATGGGTTTTAGGGAAGAGCACGGTAGATGTGAAAAGCCTTTCTTATCACATCATATCAAGGGTACATGATATCAACATGATCTTTATCTGCCAAGTTTCTCCACTCAATAGTAGTTTTTCCCTTTCCATTCTCTATTTTTGGCTTCCCAGATGGCTCAGTGGTAAGGAATCTGACTGCCAACACAAGAGACACAGGAGATGCAGGTTCGATCTCTAGGTTGGGAAGATCCCCTGGAGAAGGAAATGGCAACCCATTCCAGTATTCTTACCTGGGAAATCCTGTGGACAGAGGAGCCTGACAGGCTACAGTCCAAAGGGTCACAAAGAACCTGACACAACTGAGCGACTGAGCACACAGCACATTCTATTCTTTGGAAATGAGTCACCAAGTCCAACCCACACTCAAGGGGAGGGAAATTAAACTCCACCTCCTGGACTGGGGATTCTCTTCATATATTACTTGATATCGTTCTGTAAGGAAAGTGTGTCCTTTCTTTCTCCCTTTAAAATGTTTTCCAGTCATTTATGTATTTCAATATGAACTTGAATATTTTTAAAAAATTTTATTTGTTTGGCTGTACCAGGTCTTAGTTGTGGCATGCAAACTCTTAGCTGTGGCATGTGGGATCTAGTTTCCTGGCCAGGTATCAAACCCTGGCCCCCTGCATTGGTAGCATGGAGTTTTAGCCACTGGACCACCAGGGAAGTCCCTGAACTCAATATTTTTTATTTTGGGTTATAATCCAATATTTATTGTTATTTTGCTGCTGAAATTGTTCCAGCTTTGTTCATAGGGAGCTTTTTCAGGTTGGCTTCTGTGTCCCTTTGACATGCTCCATATTGGGGAATTGCCTTCCTTTCTGGCATTACAAGGCATTTCAGGCTCATCTTATATTTTTTTCTGTCTTAAGCCTACAATCAACTATTTTTCTAAAGACCCATGGTTCCTTTTATTGGAGGGTGTTTTAGCCAAGATCTGGATATTGAGTGCTCATTTCTCTTCTCTAAAGAGGACAAAGTTTCCAAGAGCTGCCCAAGCTCATACAGGCAAATGAGAGGCTATCCTTTCAGCGCCGCATTGGAGCTTATTTAGTGCAAACTTTACTACCCTACGCAATGGCCAGTTTGCCATATGTGCCTTCATTCCTTAAAGCTTCTGTTTTGTTTTTTTATTTTTAGCCTGTAGGGCTGAAACATTAATAATTTAATTTCCTGATATTTGGAGACTTCCCTGAAAGAAAAATTTCAAGTTTCATTAAGAATTTCCACTTACAAAAGTAGGGTAGTCAAGAGGAAAAGACGGCAGAGGGAGGAATCAGTTACATTTTTCTTCCATTCCTTCTGCTCTTTACACGTCCCTGGGCTGGGCAGGGCAGGGGGAAGGATGGCTCTCGGACTCTGAGGGAAAAATAATGATATGGAATCGCCTTTCCCAAACCCCTTGATTTCTGCCGCCTTTCTTGGTCACTTCCCCAAACCCCTTGATTTCTGCTCTGTCTGTGCCCATCCTCTCTTCCAGTCGTTGGCCTGTTTCTTCCTCCAACCTCAGCTAGAGCCCAGCCTCTTGCCTGGCGCCTGCTCCTCAGGGAGAAGTGAGCCATTCTTACCACTGGAGGGCAGAAGAGAAGAGAGGTCAGGTCCTGGGGATGGGGGAGAAGGTGCCGCAAGAATCGCTCGTAGAGAATGGACATGTGGACCAAGGAGGGAAGGGGAGGGTGGGACACTGGGCGATCAGGACTGATATATATACACTACCATGTGTACAACAGATAGCTAGTGGGAACCTGCTATAAAGCACAGGAAGCTCAGCTCCGTGCTCTGTGATGACCCAAAGGGGTGGGTTGGGGGGGCGCCTTGAGAGGGAGGTCCGGGGGGGGGGGGGGAATACATGAATATATATGGCTGATTCTTTTCATTGTACAGCAGAAAGTAACACATTGTAAAACGATTATATTCCAGTTAAAAAAAAAAGGTTAGAACTGGAAGGGCTTTCAAATGAGGGTGAAATGTGAGTGACCAGAGGGCAACTGAGGACATTTCCACCATCTCCACTGAGGAGGGAAGGGAGGGCCCTTGGGTACAGCAGCAGAGAGCCTTGCCTGGGTCTGGATGAGATTCACCCCCACCCTCACCCATCCTCTGACAACACCTCATCCCACGTCACACTGAGGGGCCCCTTCAGGCCCAGGTGCTCCACCAGCCAGAGGTATCTCAGGTCTTCTTCAAGGAGGACCCCGACAGCAGCCCAGCTCTTGTAAGTCTTGTCACCCCTCCACGGCGGGGCCCTGAGTCCTGAGTTCATCGTCACTTCCCTCCCTTCCTGCAGCCGGGTCAGCACTCTGCCGACAGTTGAGCCTCTCAGAGCGTGATTGCCCTCAGGGTCCCCGTTTGTTGGTGACCACGACCCTGGGTGGAGGGCGAAGGGGGTGGATCCAAAGAGAGAGGACAGAGAGAGGGAGGGGGAGCCCCACCTCACATCCTGCCCCACCCCCAGTCTTCCTCCACAAGCAGTGCCTTCTCCCTCCCCAACCCCAGGACTTTCAAAGGCCAGAGCAGGAAAGAGAGACCCAGGACCCCACACCTTTCTGTAAGAAGTCTGTTCACAAGGGCGCCCACCTCCAATCCCACTGCAGTTTTACTGCCCACCTGGGGCAGTCCTGGGTATGCAGAGGGTGATCCAGCAATGCTCTTCCTTCACATATCTGCACGACTCGGTTCCTCACCTGCTTCAGATCCGCTCAGCTGTCACCTCCATGAGGCCCACCCTGACCACCCTCTTTTAAAGCGCCACCTCTCCCATCACCTTGCATTGACTGTTGACTTTGTATTATTTTTCTCTGTATCCCCTATCATTTTCTAACATACTGTGAAGATATCTTTTCCCAAAGAGGACCTCAACAGCACCGCCCCACATGCTCTTTTACAATTGACCTCTCCATCCCCTGTCTACAGCTGAGGGCTAAATCCCCTCTTCTTGAATCAACAACCTGTAAGCATCAGGAAAGCAAGTGTTTTGCCTATTTTGATTAAATAGCCATCAGTCCTAGAACAAAGCCTGGCACAGAGGCACTCACTATTTGTGAAGGGATGAATGCTGTGACAAGATTCCTTAAAGCTGGGTCTGAGGCTTGGAAGAGGGGAGTTTGCTCGTGTTTGGTTTTGGAGGTTGTCTTAGTCTGCTCAGCCTGCCATAACTAAATACCCCAGGCTGGGTGGCTTAAGTGACAGAAATTTATTTTCTCACAGTTCTGGAGACTAGAAGTCCAAGATCCAAGTGCTAGGAAATTTGGATTCTGGTGAGGGCTCTCTTTTTGGCTTGTAACTATCTGTCTTTTCGCTATGTCCTCACATGGCCTCTCCTCTGTACAAAGTGGGGGTGGAAGGTGGGAGAGCACAAGCTGGTGTCTCCTTCTCCAAACTGCAAGCTTTACCAGACTAGGGCCCCACCCTTATAACCTCATTTAACCTTGAGTGTTTACGCTGCCATGTCTGACTCCTTGTGACCCATGGATGGTAGCCTGCCAGGCTCTTTGTCTGTAGGATTCTCCAATCTAGAATGCTGGAGTGGGTTGCCATTTTCTACTCCAGAGGATCTTCCCGACCCAGGGATCAAACTCATATCTCTTGTGTCTCCTGTGTTCGCAGGCAGATTCTATACTACTGCTGCCACCTGGGAAGCCTACAAATGTAAGATGGGAAACCACAAAACTCCTAGGAAAAAACATAGGTTTAATACTCTTTGACAGAAACTGTAGCAATAGTTTTTTTTGATCTGTCTTCTAAGGCAAAGGAATAAAAGCAAAAATAAAGGGGAGCTAACTAACATTAAAAGCTTTTGCATAGGAAAGGAACCACCAACAAAATGAAAAGACAACCTATAGAATGGGAGAAAATATTGCAAATAAAATGACCAGTAAGTTAATATCCAAAATATATAAACTGCTCATACAACTCAACATAAAAAAAAAAATAACCCAATTTAAAAATGGGTGGGATACCTGAATAGACATTTTCCCAAAAAAGACATACAGACAGCCATAAAAAGATGCTCAACATCACTAATCATTAGAGAAATACAAATTAAAACTACAATGAGATATCACCCCACACCTATCAGAATGATTATCATCAAAAGGAACACAAATAACAAATATTGGCAAGGATGTGGAAGAAAGGGAAATTCTGTAAACTGTTAGTGGGGATGTAAATTGGTGCAGCCTTTGTGGAAAACAGTGTGGATGCTTCTCAGAAAACTTAAAGTAGAACTACTATGTGACCCAATAATTCCACTCATGGATACATATTCAAAAAAAGAAAACTAATTGGAAAAGATGCATGCACCCCAATACTCATAAGCATCATTATTTATAATTGCCAAGGTATAGAAACAACCTAAGTGTCCATCAACAGATGAATGGATAAAGAAGATGTGATACACATATACAATGGAATACTACTCAGCCATTAAAAAGAATGAAATTGTGTCATTTGCAACAACATGGATTGACTTGAAGGGTATTATGTTAAGTGAAATAAGTCACAGAGAAGGAAAAATAATACTGTATGATATTATTTATATGGGAATGTTAAAGAAACTAGTGAATATAACAAAAAAGAAACAGGGATTTTCCTGGCAGTCCAGTGGTTAGGACTTGGTGCTTTCACTGCTGTGGCCCAGGTCGAATCCATGAAGTGTGGCCTAAAATACAAGCTAGAAAGAAAGAAAAGAAATGGACTCACAGATATAGAGGACAAACTAGCGGTCACCATTTGGGAGAGACATGGGAATAGGGGCCAGACAAGGGTGGGGATTAAGAGGTACAGACTACTACGTATAAAATAAAGTACAAGGATATATTGTACAACATGGGGAATATAGCCAATATTTTACAGTAACTATACATGGAATATAACCTTTAAAGTTATGAATCATGTTGAACCCCTGGAATTTTTATTGTACATCAACTATACCTCAATTAAAAAACACAATGACGTGGAGGGGGTTAAGGCTTCAACATATGGATTCCGAGGCCACAACTCAGTGCATAAGGGTCTCCTGTGATGTGTGTTTGTTACCCACCGGTTGGTCTTGGTTTCCTGAGCCTCTCCTCTCTCAGTGTCACCCCGAACTCTTGGTCTTGCCACATAAGCACAGCAGACAGGCTGTGTCTGTGTCTTACCCACCATCAACTTCCTCTGACCTCTCTTGGGCCAGGGAAGGGGGGGGTCCGTCTAGATTGTGGGGTCAGGGGTGGCTGCTGTCCAAATTGCAGGCTGGTTCAGCTGCCGCATGGGGGCTCTGGGGAACCCTTCCTTGGCTTGTGAGCCCCGTGTCTGCTCAGGCTGCTGTAACAGAATATCATAGAGGATGAGAAGTCCAAGATCAAGGTGTCAACAGATTTGGTGTCAAATGAGGGCCCTCTTCCTGATTGATAGATGGCCATCTTCTCACTGTGATCTTCCATGTGGAAGGGGAAAGGGAGCTCTCCGGAGCCTCTCTTTTATAAGGACACTTATACTATTTATGAGGGCTCCACCCTGGTGACCTGACCTCCCAAATGCCCTACTTCCAAATACACTGGGGATTTGGTTTCAACACAAGAATTTCTGGGGATACAAACATTCAGTCTATGGCACCTGACGTCCTGGATCAGTCATCAGGGTAGAACTGAGACTTGGGGCTGGGGTTGCTGAGCTCCCAAGTTCAGGGGGTGGGGGTAGCAGGGAGCAGGGCCTGAGGGGTCCAGTCTGAGGGATCTGGGTGCTTGGGTCACCAGAGAGGAAGGAGTTGGACTCATCCCAGAGTCCTCTGGAAGTGAGCTGTGGAGGGTGTAGGGACCGCCACTAAGAAGTGGGTATTTTTGGTCATCTGGGTCTCATTGCTGAGGTTCCTGAAGCCCATGGTGGTGTCTGGCCCCCACAGCGTGCTGAGCACTTGATCCCCAGGTGCCCCTTGACCTGGCATGGAAGCTCTGGTTGTCTAGGGGTGGGAGGGATAACTGAAGAACATGACAAGTCATTCCTTGAGTCTGGGCTCAGACATGGCAGTGAGGTCCTAGCGCAGGAAGTGGGACCCTGGAAACCCTGGGAATTTGATGCCAGAGTTGGTCCCCACAGGGACAGCCCAGCACCTGCCCTTCACTCTCTATGGCCCAGCACCCAGAAACCCTCTCCAAAGAAAACCCGCAGGTGTCCCCTAGACCAGCCTTTCTCAGGTCATGCTCCTCCCTGGCTCCTTTCTCTCTCCTCCTTGTAACCTTCAACTCCTTGATGTCCTTATTTCTGCCCTACGCTCACTCCCCCCGGAGCATCGGCTCCTTCCTGAACCTAGCTCACTGGGAGCTCTTTCCACTCTGGGATCCCATTCCCTGTCCTGAAACGCACTGGACTGATTCCCAGGTGCAGAGGTCCTCCAGCTCAAGGCAGCAGCAGGAACAACCAAGCGATAAGGACTCGGGAGGTATAGGTCCCATCTCAGGAGACTGAGGCATTGTGTTTCTTGTGGGGTCCATCTGGGACCTGGGAACCAGTGGTTATGGCCTGGAGGCACTGTGCTTTGAGGCAGAGTCCACGGTGACTCGGTGGGAAGGAAACGTGTGTCAGTGTGGAATTTGGGAAACACCTCATACTGGCCAGACTGACAGAGGATGAAGGCCCTCTCTTGTGTTTAAAGCCGTATTCCGGTTCTGGGAGCCGCCAGAGACCCTGGGAGGGTTCTGGCTGAATAGGAGAAAGACAGCCACGTCTCCTGTCCTCAGCCCTGTGGCCACACGGGGGCGCCAACACACTGCTCTGCGTGGCCTGGAAGGGTCTGGGCTCTAGATTAGTCAGAGATGGCTCACCTCAGGACTGAGTACCAATGTGGGGAAACAGCTTCTGAGCTGCTCTGGACTCCACTGGTGTCAGGGTCAGGGGTGGTCCAGGGACGGAAGGAGAATAGAATTCTTATACCAACTCTGAGGTTACCATCCCTACCCTGTGACTCTCCTGCCTCTTGGTGACAACACCTGGGAAAATGGAAAATGAGCATTTTCTTCTACACTGTTTCTTTTCAGTACTCCTTGATGTAGCAACAGTAACAATATCTGTATAAGTTTTTTCTCAGGAAGAATATGTGAAAAATTGATAAAATGCTCACCTCTGGCAAAGGACCTAGGTGCCAGGGATCTGGGGAGGGAGGAAAATTTTCCACTTGCAAGTCCTTTGGAATATCTTGAATGATTTTTGAAAAATATGTTGCATTAAAAATCCCTCTTGGGGGAGAGTACATGTGTGTATCTATGACTGACTCATGTTAATGTTTGGCAGAAACCAACACAATTATATAAAGCAATTATCCCTCAGTTAATAAATACATTTTTAAAACAAAACAAACAAAAATCCCTCTTGGGAATTCCTTGGCAGTCCAGTGGTTAGGACTCTGCACTTTCACTGCAGAGCAGCCCAGTTTCAATCCCTGATCTGGGAACTAAAATCCCACAAACCACAAAACATTCACACACACACACACAATCCCTCTCAGTAACAATAAGGAAAAATATAAAGAAAAGAAAATCTATAAAAGAAAAAAATCTTTCTCATTTATGAGACTCTTTCCTATTTACTTGCAGTGCACACGCTGTGGTCCTATGATATGATTCAGGCCTCACATATGTGGTCCCTCCAGCACTCAAAGGGTGTTTACACCTCAGAGCCATCCAGGCTGTTCTCTGGCCTAAGAACTTGATCCCCAGATAGCGCTTCCCTCCCTAACATTCTCTTCAACTGTCCTTACTGAGAGCCCCTCCCTGCGTGGCTCACCGCATCTTGGTCTCCAGCCTCTCTCTACCCACTGCCCTGCATTGATTTTATTTAAACCCTAGTTGTTGTTTGTTGCTAAGTTGTGTCCGACTCAGTGACCTTATGGACTGTGGTCCGACAGGCTCCTCTGTCATGGGATTTTCTGGGCAAAAATACTGGAGTATGTTGCCATTTCCTTTGCCAGGGGATCTTCCTGACCCTGGGATTGAACTTGCACCTCCTGCATTGGCAGGTGGATTCTTTACCACTGAGTCATCTGGGAAGCCTCACACCATGGTCACTGATGCACATTTTCAAGAGCCGTTATTTCATTATTTATTTACTCTCCTTCCTCTGAACATAAACTTTATGAGCACAAGTATAGAGACCTTGATTGTTCACAGCTGTATTCCTATCTCCTTGAATAGTGCCTGGTTGTTGCTTTAAAAATACTTGTTGAGTGAATAAATGGGTGAGTGAATGAATGAGTTAGTGAGTGAATGAATGAGTGAGTGAGTGAATGAATGCGTGAATGAATGCACAAGCAGCCTGGCACATGCACAGACACACACTGCCAATCACCAACACACACAATACTGTCACCCACACTGACACATACACAGAACACACATACACACATTGTCACATTCACACATTCTCACATGCACATACTCTTGAAGCCGAATTTTCATTCAGCATTAGGTTGTGGACATTTCCCATGCATTATTATTTCTAAAAGTTTTCTCCAACTTTTTGTGAAACATTTCAAAGATATTTCAAGTTTGAAAGAATAGTACAATAGCCATCCTAGATATAGTGATGTTAATATTTTGTCATATTTTCTTTGTGTATGTAATAAATTGTATTTCCATGATTTTTGCTGAAATCCTTGAAAATCACTTGCCAACATCATGCCAACATCCCTAGCTATTTCATGCCCTATCCCTAGTGTCATCTCTTGAAAAGGAAACTGTCTTCAAACAATATTATTATCATACTGAAAAATAACTGTAATTCCCTAACATTATAAAATGTCAAAGTAATATAAAATTCTCTTAATTATCCTCCACGTATCTTTCATTTGGAGAGAGGAATGCTTGGTTGTGCTCTCTCTGAATTTTCCTTCTCTTCCCTCTCTCCAGCCCCTAATGACAACTCCAAACAAAACTGAAAAGTAGAAACATTTTTTTTCTACTTCTTTTGCAGCTCTTCAACACTCAGCTTTCTGACACAAATCATCTCTTGTTTGGGAACAACATCTCAATGTCTACATAACATCCCACAGTGCGATGAGCATCTTGGGACAGTTGGGACTTGGGACAGTTGCCCTGCGCCTTCTGTTCTCCTTATGAGGCCAGAAGAGGGGCCCCTGTGCCAGGGTCACCCCTGGTTCCCCGAGAACTCACACCTCCAACAGCAGGTGTCAAGGTGGACCTGAGCCCTCAGGGTGAGAGTGAATTCACGTAATCCTCGAAGACCCCTCCTCCCCTTCAGGCGTTCCATCCCATAGTCAGGGAATCCAGAGAGGTCCACACACAGGAACTAAGACCCAGCCACCTCAACCCTTGTCATCTCCACCATCTTCTTCACCCCAGAGCCCAAGTGAGAGCCCCAAACCCCTGATCCTCTCCACCTTCATCTCCCTGTCAGCTGCCTTGACCCACCAGGACAAATCTCATTATGCCCTTCCCGTTTGTCTTAGTCACAACAAGCCTCCAAACAGTCTGGCCTCTCAGTGTTAGAGGCTCTGCACACCTCTATTATGTCTCCTCTTCCACTCCTCCTCAGCTCCTGAGTGTTTCCACAGCGCCCCCTGGAGTTCTCAGACGCTGACCAGCAAAATCTCTAAAGTCCTCCTTCAGGATGTTCCCTTCACCTCACAGCTCTGACAGAAACCTGGGTCTCCCAGAGGACACGGTCCCTCTGAAGTCCTCTGATACTGTTTCCTCGTCCATGGATCTTGTACCCCTGTACCTGGGGGTGGGTGGGGTCCTTCTCCTTATGACTCCCTACAGACCTTTCTCCCGCCCCCTTCCCTAACATCCTCTGGTCTGACATCAGGTTAGAGCCTCCACTCTGCTCGTTGTGGGCCTTTCCCATGGACACCCAGACCGTTCCCTTCATTCCTCCTCTCTCACAGCTCCTGACTCGCCATCACTGACTCTGACAATGTTAGCTCCTTGGTCTCAAGTGATTTCAACATGAGATGTGTAGGCTAAATAGTGGTCCTCAGTGTGGTCCATGGCCAAATCCTTGAACCTGTGACATGTTCTGTCTACACAACTCTGGGTTTTGCAGGGTAGGAGGTCTCAGTTCCACAAAGGGGGCACCCTTACAAGGGGACATGACAAGGGTCCCATTGAACCATACCCTATGACTGCCACCCAGGAAGCTTGGATTCCATGTGCCTGAAGACCAGCAGGTGAGAGGAGGGGTCCTCTCTTCTCTAGGCAGGAGCAATTGAGTCTGGTCCTCAGGAGAGATGGAGTTGCTGCTACATAACTGGTGCAGGAGGACTACACGGGGAACTCAGGTGAGAGACTTGAGTGCCTGCTGCTTTTCCCTTGTCCCAGTGAAACTATGAATGTTAGGTGCGGTGACCCAGCATGAGAAGGGTTTGATTTCCAAGGGTCCAGACGCCTCAGGTAGGAAGGTTTAGAACACATCCCCAGGTGGGGCACAAGGGCTCCTGCTCCTGTCTCTGAGATCCAAGGCAGCATTTATGCAGAGACCCTGCTTCCCCTGGGCTGTTTCCAGACAATGACAGGTGGCAACAGTGACCCTACGGGAGGTTCATTTCCGGGAGACACAGCGCTCCTCCTAAGGCCATCTGTGGCTCAAGAACTCTTCTGTGGCCTTGCTCAACTTCACTTCCATCACCTAGAAGTCTAGGATAGTCCAGTGAACCTTCTCTCCTGTCTGCCTCTAGGGGTCAGATTGCATCTCAGTCCTGCGGGCTCTCCCAGTGTTTTCTGCCTGCCTCACATTCTCTGACAAGTGTTTTCCCTAATAAAACACTGGCGAGTTCAGTCTCATCTTGGCAACTGCTTCTTGGAGGACAGGGACTAACAAGATTACTTTCATTTGTGCACCAATAACCTATTACTTATTTCATCTTATAAAACCTTTCTCTTTATCCAGCTTCTCCGACCAACATCTGCTTCATTTCGCTTGTCTTTTTAGTATGTTTGAGTTGTATTTGTTGCTTTAAGACACTAAGTTTTAGGGTAATTTTCTGTTCAATAAAGCTAAGTAATAAAGCTCTAAGTCTTTATTATTCTATGGATATTGTCTAAATCTGTTCTATTTCCTTGTATTTTAAAAATGTTATCTATACTTAATAGTTCCAGTTGCTTTCCTCTTGTTCTCCCTTTTACTAATTTGGACTTTTCTTTTTCTTCTCCTCCTCCTCGGCTTTCTTCCTCCTTCCTTTCTTTCTTTTTAATATGAGGACTCCAAATATATAAATTAATACTATATGGTTGTGCTAAAAGGAAGCATTCTCAGGACCCATATGCTGAAAGTGTGATGCCATTTATATACACATTCCTTTTCTTTCTTCTTTTTTTAAAAAAAACTTAAAAAAATTTTTTTATGTGTTGATTGGTTGTGCTGGGTTTTTGTTGCTGCACAGGCTTTTCTCTAGTTGCAGTGATCGGAGGCGATTCTCTAGTTGTGGTGCACAGGCTTCTCATCTCAATGGCTTCTCTTGTTGTGGGGCACAGGCTCTAGGGTGCTCAGGCTTCAGCAGTTGTGGCATGTGGGCTCAGCAGTTGCGGTTCCTGGGCTCTAGAGAACAGGCTCAATAGTTGTGGTGCACTGGCTTAGTTGCTCCACATGTGCGATCTTCCCAGACCAGGGATTAAACCCATGTCTCCTGCATTGGCAAGTGGATTCTTTACCACCGAACCACCAGGGGAGCCCCGACACATTCTTTTTCAATTAACACCACATTGCAATTCAACAATACATCAATACAATTAAAATTTAAAAGTACAATGCCAGATATACGGAATAAAACTAAAAAAAATGAAGTTATTGTTAGAGTCAGCAAAATATGCCAGGGTGATTTGCACTGCAAGTGACTTTCAACACAGGAAGTGGGTTTTACCTCTTGCTTTCTGCCTTGTTGCTGAAAACAGCTTCCTCTGAACAACCACATGAACAGCATGAACACTTACACAGCCCTAGTGAAAATTTAAATTGATAGTAGAACTTTGAAAATCAAATTAGCCATATCTAGAATGGTTACAGTACCTAACCCAACAGTCTTACTCCTGATCATTCACTCTGGGGGGCTGCTTGCCTATGTGTCCCAGGAGACATGTACATTAATGTTTACGGCAAAAACTGAAACACCATATGTTCATCCAAAGGAAAATAACTGTGGTACAATCACAAACTAAAGCTTTTCCAGCAGTAAAATGAGTGAATCTTTCTATCAGTTATCAGATAACTCACCTACGCATAACATTGAGTCACAGAAGAACACACGCTGTATGTTTTCACTGAATAGGAAGGTCAAAAACAGGCTGAACTAAATAACATTTGGTTTGGGGGTATATGCACTTACTATAAAATCATTAGAGAAACTCAGTAAACACAAATTTCAGGATAGAGGTTATACATGGGAGATGGGATTGAGAAATGGCATGCAGGATCTTAGTGCCCCAACTAGGGATCGGACCCATGTTTGCTGCAGTGGAAGTGTGGAGTTTTAACCACTGAACCATCAGACAAGTCTCCTTAGCTTCACATCTTACCTCAGAGGTGGGTCCTGAGGAGTATCAGAACTCCTTAAACTGATATTTTTGAAACTGGAGTTTGTGAACCATTCTGGATTAATTTTTTTTCAATGAAAGGGAAAATTACATACCAAAGTTTATTTCAAGGATCCTTAATAAGACCTACTCACAGCGGAACTAACCCATAGCCAAATTTTGTGAACTGTATTAGAGAGAGAGGATCCAGGATGCCATAGAAATATCTTTCTCTAGGTCATTTGCTCTCTTGTTCACTGGCATCTCTGTCAGTTTTCTGCTGCACAATGTTTAATCTGATGCTTAAGGTCTTGTGATGGCTTAGACACGTCACTTACATTAACTTCACATTCACCTGGCTTAAAAACATTTACGGAACAAAAAAGTGCATTTTGCTCAGTGTAAATTAAGCTGGAAAAATATAAAGGAATATCATCTTTGATAATATTACCTGATGAGATTTCATTTTAACTAGAAAAATAAGAATCTCATGGGACGGAGATGGGAGGAAAGTTTAGGAGGGTGGGACATGGGTGTACCTATGGCTAATTCTTGTTGATGTATGACAAAAAAACCACAAAATACTGTAAAACAATTATCCTTCAATTGAAAGGAAAGAAAAAGAAAAAGAAGAATTTCTTACTTTAGTCTCCCTCCCCACTTCAAGCTTAGTATCATGACAACGTTTTAATGTGACTCATGAGACAGGAATGGCTAATTTTGATCTAGGAACAAAGTTTTACCTAGATCAGAATCATCCCTTGGACTGCAAGGAGATCCAACCAGTCCATCCTAAAGGAGATCAGTCCTGGGTGTTCATTGGAAGGACTGATGTTGAAACTGAAACTCCAATACTTTGGCCACCTGATATGAAGAGCTGACTCATTTGAAAAGACCCTGATTCTGGGAAAGATTGAGGGCAGGAGGAGAAGGGGACAACAGAGGATGAGATGGTTGGATGGCATCACCGACTCAATGGACATGGGTTTGGGTTGACTCTGGGAGTTGGTGATGGACAGGGAGGCCTGGCGTGCTGTGGTTCATAGGGTCGCAAAGAGTCGGACACAACTGAGTGACTGAAATGAACTGAACTGAACCGAATTGTCCATAGCTACCTAATCATTTACATATAGCTACTATATGTTTCCAGTGTAGAGAATTTGCAGGGAAATCTTAGAGACCTTGGGGTATCTCACTTCTCTGTCTCAAACTTTTATTAGTAGTAATAGTGTTAGTCACTCAGTTGTGTCTGACTCTTTGCAATCCCACGGACTATAATCTGCCAGGCTCCTCTGTCCATGGGATTCTCCAGGCAAGAATACTGGAGTGCATTGCCATTCCCTTCTCCAGAGGAACTTCCCAACCCAGGGTTCGAACCCTGCTCTCCTGCATTGCAGGCCGATTCTTTATCATTTGAGCTACAGGGAAGACCTGCAAACTTTTATTATTATGTTCCAAAAGAAGTTTGAAGCACTCAAGAATAATTGACTAAAGGAAGCATTTGATTTACAAAATCCTGAAAGGATATTTAATTTTGATTTTAACATGTGGGTAAATTCTTTGATGTTCCTCCTTTCCAGAAGTGGAGCTTCATTTTCTGCTCTTGAGTTTGGGTTGGATTTAGTGATTCACTTAAAAATTTTCTATTTGTTTGACTGAATCAGGTCTCAGTTGCAGCATGTGGGCTCTAGTTTCCTGACCAAGGTTCCAATCTGGGAGCCCTGCATTAGGATCATGGAGTTTTTGCCACTGGACCATCAGGGAAGTCCCAATGATTCCCTTGTAACTGAGAGAGTAAGCTGACGTAATGATGTGTGACTCTGGGCCTATGACATTAAACACATTGCAGCTTCCATCTTGGCTGCCCTCTCTCAGATCACTTGCTCTGGGGGAAGATAGCTACCTAGTCATTAGCTGCTTTAAGGAAAGTTGGTATGGCTCAGAACTGAGGCCTCCCAGGACCATCCAGGAGGGAAATGAGGCCTCTTCCAACAGCCATATGGGTGACCATGTTTAATGTGAATTTCTTGCCCCAGTTAAGTCTTTGGATGATGCAGCCCTGGCTAACAGCTTCATCGCAACCTATGAGAGGCCCTAACCAGAATTCAAGTAAACCTCTCCTGCAATTCTGATTCTGGAAAACTGTGGAACATAATAATTATTTGTTTTTTAAAATTGTCACTTTTACAGCAGTACACAGTTATCACAGCATCCAAAGAAAATAATAGATTATTGCATTTTATTTTTGATCTGTTGTAAATTAACAACAGGATGTTAAACATAGGGCTTTCCTGGTATATCATATGGTAGAGAATTTGCCTGCAATTCAGGACACCTGAGTTCGATCCCTGGGTCAGGAAGATCCCCTGGAGAAGGAAATGGCAACCTACTCCCATATTCTTGCTTGGAGAATTTCATGGACAGAGGAGACTGGTGGGCTATAATATGTGGGGTCACAAAGAGTTGGACACAACTGAGTGGCTAACACTTCCTATTAAACATACCATTTAGTTTTAAGATTTAAGAATAATTCCCACGGTTAAATGGACAGAAAGTATGCTATTACTGTTCACAAAATTTTATTTATTTGAAGTTCCATTACCAACTGTAACCCAATTAAACCCAAAGGAAGAACAAGGCTATATTAGGCAGATTCTAAGACAGCCAGTGATAACCAACTGCTGGTTATTCACCTTCTCCCACTTGTTTGATCAAACACTAACACAAGTGGCACTGTGAAGGGATTTTTCTTATGTAGTTAAGGTTAGTATCAGTTGAGTTGACAACAGGGGATGATCATGGGTAATCCAGACTGAATCAAGTGAACTCTTAACCACACTAGGTTATTACTGAACAAAGAGTGAAAGGGATTCAGTGTGAGGGAGGGCTTGAAATGGAGGGGCCCACATAGCAAGACATGCTGGTGGCCAGAGGTGCTGAGAGAAGCATTCTCCTGACCAAAGGAAAGGAAGTGGGGACCTCAGTGCTACAACTACAAGAAGTAAAATTCTGCAAAGAGTTCTGCGTAAGCTTGGAGGAGGACCTTAAGCTCTAGTTGCAAACACAACCTCATGAAATGCTGAACAGAGACCCTCTCCATATCGCACCTGGACTTCTGATACACAGATCTGTGAGCATTGAAATGGCTCTTGTTAGAGCCCACTACATTTGTGGTAACATTTTATGCAGCAATAGAAAACTAATGCACAGGCTCAGTTGTGCAACATATAAAACATTTTCTCCACTGGAATGAATTTATGAACTCTCACATATACTAGTTGAACAACATAAGATCTTTCCTAATTTCTCTACTTTTAAAAATTTTCTGATTTGTATATGATGCCATCAGACTTTAATACAATCAGGTTTGTTTATTTCATTTGTTCAACAATGATTAATTTAGTGCTTACTATGTACCAAACATAGCTTTATATGCTGGGGATACAGCTTTAACCAGAACAGCTTTAACACAAAGCCCCTGTGCCCATGTGCCTTACATTCTAGAAGCTTTCCAAGAGTGAGATGGAGCCACTGGAATATTAAAAAATGTCTGAAATGACACTCCTGACCACTGTGGGGGGCATAGCCCATGGGTGGCAGGTGAGGTGGTGGCTCTTGTGCCACAATTCAGGGATGAGAAGTTGGTGGAGACTAAGGGAAGAAGAGGGCCTGAGGGATGAGAGAGACAGAGAGAAGGACTAGAGAAGCAAGAGGTGTGGAAAAGAAGCAGATGTAAAGAATTCTAAAGCAGTGACACTCTCAGATTTAAATACATTGTTACATTGATTTGCTTAACAGGTATTCTTTGCATCTTGTATTTGCTCTGTTCTGTGAGGCTGCCTAAAAACCAAATGTCTCCTTATGTCAATCAGGTTAAAGAAAATAATACCAAGCGCCCAATAAAATGTGCACATCGCTTAGGTGTGGATCACAAATATAGACGATGCAGGAGTGTTCGTGAAGGGCAATTTGATTGCACTGAACACTTGCAACTTTGAGGGGATTCAAGTTTGTACACTCTGGTTGAAATATAATGTGTTAATAATATTTCTTATTTTCTGTATTCTTGATGCTCTGCCATTTGTGGTCTGGATAACTGGGGAGAGACTTGTGCTATAGAGCTGACCAATTCTTAGAGACAGCAAAGGGCTTGCCCAGGAGCAGCCTTTTCTTTGCAAACTAGACAATCCAGAGTCCGTATCTGGAATCACCTCTTCTATGGCAGAGCCTGGCGGGCTGCAGTCTATGGGGTCACAAAGAGTTGGACATGACTGAGCATGAACACACACACATACACACTTCTATCAGGTCTTACATTCCAGGAAGCAATATTCCTCTGCTCTCATTATCCTGGGCCAGGTACCAGGCACCTAGAGACAGGCCCTGTCTCCCAGAACCTGCCAATGACCTTATTCAAACCAGTCAATCCCAAGATGTTTCTCCAGCCCTCCTTTGCTTTCCCTCAGCCCTGAGGAAAAAGCCATGAAAGTTTCTGAGCCATGCTTTCTTCCTCTCCCTGACCTTCTGGCCAACCTTGGTGCTTCCCCCTGTGGCCCTGTGTGGTGTGCCATGCCCCCTCCTCTCTGAAAGTGTAATTAGTAAAAAAATCTTTCAGTGGTTTAGCCTCTCCTGTCATCACCTAGTCACTGTAGTAAATTCCCGCCTAGGCACAGGTCTTAGGCAGGAAGAAATTGTGCTTCCATGTGCTTTTCTGTATTGACCATGTGCTGAGACTCCAACAGGAAAACTCAGGGCTATGGAATAAAGGTAATTTTAAAGTATAAAAGCCTGGAGCCACAGTTTGGGAAAGTGAAGTTATGAACTTTGGTTATTGCAGAGGTGTTCAGACACATTCACACGGACGGGAAGGATAAAATCATTACTTTTACAGATTAGATGCTCAGCCATTCAGGGGACATCAGGATTACGATTAACAAGCAAACAGGAAACTGGTCTCTATAGGAATCTCTACATATACAACTGCCCCCAGTTGAATGAGCATACCATTGTTTCTTCACCAGCTTTCCCAAGACCTGTTTGCTCTCTGGCACCCTATTCCTTGGAAGTTTGTTTTTCGCAGGAGAGTGCCCGAGGGATGAGTGAATAGGGACACAAATCAGGGAGAGGAAACTGGGGAAGGGAAGACAAAGGGGGCTGAGCCCAGCCTGGGGGTTTCTCCTTGGTTTTGTTTTCTCAAACAGTCCCAGCACTAGGGAGACTGACAAAGGGCTCTTGGTGCAGCCTCGAGGAGAGGGGCGGGCCACAAAGTCCCAGGTGCCCTGGGCGCGGCGCTCAAGGTCTCAGGTTCTAGGGTCGGGGGTTGGCGTCTGGGACACGGAAGCTAAGCACTGTCGATTCCCCATCTCCCTCCCCACAGTTTCACTTCTCTCTCTCACAACCCGTGTCAGGTCCTTCTTCCTGGACACCTATGACACTGCTCCAGGTCTCGGTCCACTGGTTTCTAGAGAAGCCAATCAGCGCTACCGCGGTTCCCTGTTACGAAGTTCTCAGACTAGTCCGAACTCACATTCGCCCCAGATCCCAAGGATGCAGGTCACCGAGCCGCGAACCCTGCTCCTGCTGCTCTCGGGGTCCCTAGCCCTGACCGAGACCTGGGCGGGTGAGTGCGGGGTCGAGACCAAATAGTCTGCAGGAGAAGCCAGGGGACCGCCTGCCTGGGGCGAAGGACAGCCGGGGAAGACGCGTTTCTATGGCACCGAGACCAGACCCACTACCTCGCCCCCGTCCCGTCCGGACCCTCCCCTGTCCCTTCCGAGCCTGCAGCCCTCTCCTCTCACCACTCGAGTCTCCCACCAGGCCTCTTCCGTCTCGCACGCCCTCTCGTCCCCTTTTCCCTTACAGGTCACATTCACCTCGGACATGGGGACCCGCGCCCGAAGGAGCGTCGGGCCGGGTGGCAGCCCCTCCCGGTCCCGGGGGTCCACTCCTTGAGGTACTTCCACATTTTGGTATCGCGTCCTGTCCTCGGGAGGGACTTTTATCAATCTGTCGGTTACCTGGACGACACTCAGTTCGTAAGATACAACAGCGACGCAGCGAATCCGAGGGTGGAGCCGCGGGCGCCGTGGATTGAGCAGGAGGGGCCGGAGTACTGGGACCGGCACACCAGCATAGCCACAGAACATTTGCAGGCTTCGCGGTCGAAGCTGCAGGTCATCGTTGGCAACCACAACCACAGCGAGTTGGGTGAGTCTCAAACCCTGCATTCCGCTGCGATGAGCCGGGGTCCCCCTGAGTTCCCGGGTCCGAGGTTTCGTCCCGAGGTCAGGAGATCCTCCGACCTCTCTTCTGTCTGGGAAGAGCCCACTAGGAACTAGGATTCACAGGGATTGCGTTTTCAATTTAGGAGAAAAAACGGCCTCTGAGCAATCACCTCCCGAGAGTCTGGAGCCGGAGCGGGGCTAGGTTGAGCGCTGGGCGGTGCTAAGTGGGCGGCGCTAACCGCGGGGGCGGGGCAGAATCGCACAGCTTTCTTTGGATGTCTGGCTGCGATGTCGGGCCGGACGGCCGCTTGGTCCGAGGGTACAAGCACTTCGCCTAGGACGGCGAGGATTACATCACGCTGAACGAGGACATGCACTCCTGGTCCGCGGCGGGCACAGTGGCTCAGATCATCCGGCGCAAGTGGGAGGCGGAGGGAGTCGCGGAACGTTACCGGGAATACCTGGAGACCGAGTGCGTGAAGTGGATCCCCAAATACCTGGAGAAGGGGAAAGAGATGGGGCTGCGCGCAGGTACGAGGGGCCCCGGGCCCTCCCAGATCTCACCTCAGGTTGGGGCTGTACCTCCAACTAGCCCAACCTAAAGGGGAGAAGCATAGGTTTGACATTAGAATTCTTCCCCCTCTCCCCCACACCCCCCACCCCAACTTGGATCCTTAGAGTAAGGCTTACAGATTCTTACCCAGTGTCTGAAATGACACTCCTGACCACTGTGTAGAGAATAGTCTATCGGTGGCAGGTGAGGTGATGGTTCTTGTGCCACAATTCAGGGATGAGAAGTTGGTGGAGACTAAGGGGGATGAGCGATGTGAGAGACAGAGAGAAGAGCTAGAGAAGCAAGAGGTGCAGAAAAGAAGCAGATGTAAAGAATTCTAAAGCAGTGACACTCTCAGATTTAAATACATTGTTACATTGATTTACTTAACAGGTATTCTTTGCATCTTGTTTTTGCTGTGTTCTGTGAGGCTGCCTAAAAACCAAATGTCCTTCTCAGGACAATTAAAGGATTCTGTCTCTTTGGATGTGGAGGTCTCTGAAATAATTTATTAACAGATTTCTTTGACTTTGGCCTAAGTCTTAGTGCTTCACTCTCTCACCTTTTTCTCTGCCCCATGCCTTCTTCACTGGCCGCCTGACTCCAGATTTTTTGAGTCAACTCGGTCTTCACCTAGGTCAGGACCAGAAGTTTGTATCGTCTTACTCAGAGACCTGGAGCCTCCTACCCTGGGCTGTCTTACCCTGTTTCTAGAACTTCTCAAAGCATAAGAAGTTTTCGCATATCCTGGGGTCCAGGCTCATGTCTGGCTTCTGCACTCTCACCTCTCACACCATTTATTCCCTCCGTTCTCAGAATGGTCACAGAAGTGCCTGCTCATGTGGCCTGTTAGAGTTAATACAAAGTTCCTAAATTTTCTCACCTTTCTTCTCAGTTCCTCCAAAGACCCATGTGACCCGACACCCCATCTCTGACCATGAGGTCACCTTGAGGTTCTGGGCCCTGGGCTTCTACCGGGCGGAGATCTCACTGACCTGGCAGCGTGACGGGGAGGACCAGACTCAGGACATGGAGCTTGTGGAGACCAGGCCTTCAGGGGATGGAACCTTCCAGAAGTGGGCAGCCCTGGTGGTGCCTTCTGGAGAGGAGCAGAGATACACATGCCATGTGCAGCACGAAGGGCTTCAGGAGCCCCTCACCCTGAGATGGGGTAAGGAGCAGGGTGGGGTGGAGCTTCCTCTCAGATAAAGCAGGAGCCCTTCAGGACTCAGTTCAGTAAGGTCAGGGCTCAAGCCTGAGGTCAGGGCCCTTCCCTTTCCTCCACAGAACCTCCTCAGCCCTCCATCCCCATCATGGGCATCATTGTTAGCCTGGTTCTCCTCGTGTTGGCAGTGGTTGCTGGAGCTGTAAGCTGGAGGAAGAAACACTCAGGTAGGGAGAAGAGTGAAATCTGGGTTTTCTTGTGCCCCCAGGGAGTTTCAGGACAGAAAATGTCCAGTCTCTTGCCTCAGTGCTGGGAGGCACCATCTACATAGACGTACTTACCCAGTCTGAGGTCCTGTTTCTAACACTCTTTTTAAAAAATAATTTTATTTATTTATTTATGGCTGCGTTGGGTCTTTGTTACTGCGCAGGCTTTTCTCTAGTTGCAGAGACGGGGGCTACTGTTTAGTTGTGTGCGGGCTTCTCATTGCGATGGCTTCTTTTGTTGTGGAGTACTGGCTCTAGGGTGTGTGGGCTCAGTAGTTGCAGCTCCTGGGTTCCAGAGCACAGGCTCAAGAGTTGTGGCTCAGGGACTTGGTTGCTTCACAGCATATGGAATCTTCCTGGACCAGGGATCGAATCTGTGTCTCCTGCATTTGGCAGGTGAATTCTTTATCACTGAGCCACCAGGGAAGCCCTCTAACACTCTTTTGAAAGGCATGTGTGTAAAAGAGGATTACATTCTCACTTTGATGCTTCCCCTAATGGGGATCTGATTTCCAGCAGCTAATTATAGACATCCAGAAGAGGATTGGTACAGTTCCCAAAAACCCTGTTTCCTCATGTTTCTCAATCCTGCCCTGGATCTGCATTCACAGTTCTGGAAACTTTCCTAGGATTCAGGACTAAGGGCTTCCTATAGAACCTCATGACTCTGCCTCCCCCGAGGCCTCTCACATGATGTCTTTTACCCACAGATGGAGATGGAGGGAGTTATACTCAGACTGCAAGTAAGTATGGACAGGTGTGTGTGTGGGTGAACCCTGAGACCCTTGAGATAGTGTAGGTGGGAACCCTCTGGGGGGGTTCACCCACCCTGTATTGTCTCCTTTAGTCTTAACTCCTGTGGGCTCTGACCAAGTTCTGTTCTATCCCAGGAGAAGACAGTATCTGAGGCCCTAATGTATCTCTCATGGCTCCTAAAGGTGAGACTCTGGAGGGCCTGTAGTGGGAGAGGGGCTGGGTTATGGGGATGCTCTGGATTTGAACATTTTGAGTAGTGGAAATTTGTTCAGAATGTCCCCACCTATGATAACTGACCTGAATTTGTTCTTGATTATTGTCTTCTATGGTGTGAGACTTATGGCTTGTGTGGAACTGAGCAAAGAAAGCTGTGTTCACGCCCCTACTCTATGACTTCAGAACCCCGACTTCTCTTTTCATAGAGGTGTCTGAATGTGTCTGTGTTCTTGTACTGTAATGTAAGAAAGTGAGGAGGCTGACCCACCCCTGCCCACAATGGCCTCCATTTCTTCCCCCCACCATTGTGTGATGGTATCATAGGTGTTTGTATATTATTGTATTATTTATTTACATATGTGCAGTTCTTTGTTGTATATCAGTGCTACCGCAAAAAATATCATTTTGAAAAACATACTTTGAAAGTGGCTGAGTGGTCCCTAATTTAGCCATTGCCTTTTGAGATCATATGTTAGATTGACAAAGTCCTTGTAATTTTTATGTATTTTATTTTTAAAGTAAATGATCCACTCTACTTCCTGATCAGCTATAATGTTAACTTTGAACTTCCCTGTGGTCCAGTGGTTAAGACTCTGTGCTTCCACTGCAGGGGGCATGGGTTCCATCACTGGTCAGGGATGTTCCACATGCTGCAGTGTGGCCCCACCTGGAAAAAAAAAGATAAAATGTTAACTTGAAATCTTAGTTTGAATAGTTCAACTTTCAGCTAATTATGTGCAATCTCATCTGACAGAAGTTGTGTGTGTACAGTGAAGCTTAGAGAATATCAACAAAAAGTGGATGCAAATCTTCAGTTCTTAAATTACAGACAAAAAGGAAAGTCTATAAATCACAAGTCTTGCTGTTCTTTTCTGCTAGATCAGCTCAAGATAGACAAATTGATACCTGGGTGTGGTTTCTGTGTGTATATGGTTTCACCTCTTCTTTATAAATAGCAGGAAGCACAATTAATGGATTGTATAAGCATATGTTTAGTTTTGTAAGAAACCGCCAAACTCTCTTCCAAAGTGACTGTATCATTTTGCATTCCCATCAGCAATGAATGAGATTTCTTTATTCTCTGTATTTTATTGGCATTTGGTGTTTCAGTGTTCTCCTTTTTGGCTGTCCAAATAGCTATGCTGTAGTACTCTTGTTGTTTTAATTTGCACTTTTCTGATGACATATGGTGTGGAGCATCTTTTCATGTACTGTTCTGCCATCTGTATGTCTTCTTTCATAAGGTATCAGTTAAGGTCATTGGCCCATTTTTTAACCAAGTTTTTTCTTATTGTTGAACTTTAAGTTCTTTGTATATTTTAGATAACAGTGCTTTGTCAGTTATGCATTTTGTAGGTATTTTCTCCTAGTCTATGGCTTGTCTTTTCATTCTCTTAAGCACTGCTAGATTTAATATTTAAATGTATAATTTAAAAATAT